ACCAAATCTTAATCCATAAACCCCCGTTCTCACAGTCCATGCTGGTTCGCAAACTCATTCAAATGAAAATAGGTTTACATGTTTGTACAACATTTCATTAAAATCTTATCATTTTTGCTCGAGTCATCGCACTAATGGACACTAAATGCACTAACGGAGATATATAAATGTATACGGATGTAGCGTAAGTAGTATTGTTATGGGTACCTTGCGCGATGTGCAATTGATGTGCAGTGATGTGCCAGACCACCCACGGTGGCACCTCCCCCCCTCCCCCCCTGCACCTCCCACTGCACCTCCCCCTCCCCCTGCACATCCCCCTCCCCCTGCACATCCCCCTCCCCCCCTGCACCTCCCCCGCCATGCACCTCCCCACGCCACTGCACCTCCCCCTCCCCCTGCACATCCCCCTCCCCCTGCACATCCCCCTCCCCCTGCACATCCCCCCTCCCCCTGCACATCCCCCTCCCACTGCACATCCTACACCTCCGGATGTGCTAGACCTCCCACGGAGAGAGGTGTAGTCGGCGCTCCCTCTGATCCTAGGATACAAAGGAATCCACTTAACAGGTGATTGACGGATCCATTATTTGAGTTTCTAAAAGCTTTTAGTAAGACCATTACATTTGACGAAGGTGAGCAAATCTTGACAAGCATCTAAAACGCTTTGTTTAGTTCACTAACAAAGGAAAGCTTCTAGAACGTTCCTTCGATTGACGCCGACAAAGGAACACCTGTTGTTTACCACTGGATCTTCGTGGAAGTTTCTATCGTTTCTGCGTCGCACATTCTTTACCCCCTCTCTCTGGCTACACTGCGTTACTCGCCCGTTCCCTTCAGTTAGGGTTTGGACTTTGCACGAGATGGCTGAAAAACAACAACAGTGGGCGAACGATATCGACGACGCCGATTTACACCGGGCGTGCGTCGAGGCGGAGGAGCGGGATCGGGAACATCAGGCGATTCTACTTCAGCTGCTGGAGGAGGAGGAGAGAGAGCTGAGTTACAAAATAGAGCATGTTTGGTGCTCCCAGCCTCGGGACGACGTAGAGTGGGCTCATCATGATGCAGATATGGCACGATGGGCAAAACTTCAAAATAGGATTATGGAGTTGAAGAAATAAACAGAATTTAAATCATCCTTCCCCTAATCCTCCTCCTGCTTCATCATAAAACGGTCTTTTTAAAGACCACCTAAGCCTTAGTGAGTTAAGTTCACTTTAATGAGAAAACTAGATGGTCCATACTCGCACTGTTTAGTTTTTGAGACCACCCACGGAGCGATGTGCCAGACCACGCAGGCATGAAGGCACCTCCCCCCCCCCATCGTCTCGTCCGTCCCATCCTGCACCCCTAGGATGTGCCATACCACCCACGGAGCGAGATGCTGGCGGCTGTCCCTTTGATATTTCGATACAATGGAAAGCTTTTATCGTAGGCACTCCCTTTGGTCCTAGGATACAAAGGAATCCACTTAACGGATGATTGACAGATCCATTAGTAGAGTTTCTATAGGCATTGTTTAGTCCAATATAACAATGGATAACCTTCTGGAACATTCCATCGCTTTACGCCAACAAAGGAACACGTGTTGTTTACCACTGGACCTTCGTGGAAACTTCCATCGTTTCTGCGTCGTGCATCCTATCCCCACCCCCTCTCTCTGGCTATACTGCGTTACTCATCCGCTACCTTCAGATAGGGTTTGGAGTTCACACGAGATGGCCAACCAACAGCAAGAGAAACAGCAACAGTGGGCGAGCGATATAGACGACGCCGATTTACACCAGGCGTGCGCTGTGGCAGAGGAGCGGGAGCGGGAACGTCAGGCGACTCTACTTCGGCTGCTGGAGGAGCAGAAAGAGTTGCATATAAAATTTTTTCGTATTTGGTCCCGTCAGCCCAGGAACGACTTTGAATGGAGCTGGTGGGCAGATGATTCTAAGAGAATGAGAGAACTCTATGATGAAATCGAGGAGCTGAAGAAATAAAAAGACAATTATATCATTATTCTTCACCTCGCCTCCTTTTCCTTTCCCTTTTCCTTCGGCGTCAAACGGTCTTTTTAAAGACCACCTAAGCTTTAGTGAGTTAAGTGCACTGTAACGAGAAAACTGGAAGGTGCAATGTCGTGCTGTACAGTTTTCGAGTTGGACCACCCACGTATCTAGGTCCTGACGTCACCTTGTGATGACGTCATATCGTAGTATTAGTTGTTGGTTTACCCGCAGCAAAACGCTAGTGGTGGTGTCAATATCACATGATACAACCGCCGACAATTCAGTTAGTTCTGTGAGTGCGTTGAGTAAACTCGTGTCGTGCGTTCATAGTGTTATGTTCACTATGACTACTACTACTACTAGTACTACTACTGGTGACGTCGGTATGTCTAATATTGCTGATACAGAAAAAACAATACGTTTTATTATGGAGGAGATACAAGCTTTGGAGGATAACGCAATCAGTGGTTTTTCTACAGAACATGTGGAGCAGCCAGACTTTGAGCTGAAACAATTACAGCAGCAACAGCATAAGCAGGAGAAAATTAATAACAACAAGAAGAAGAAGACTCGTGATGTAAATGTGCAAGCTGATATTGGTAGTGAAATTAACAAAGAAGAAGAAAAAGAAGATGAACTAAGTCAAGGGCAAGACGAAGGATGGGTGTTTAGATCGGCTAACGATTCGCCAGCCATTACGTGGATTGACGAAGATTTCCAATACACCGTACAGAATCCCGCTAATCGAGGGCGAGTTTTATTGAAATTACATTTATTTGAGGAAGGAGTGCAAACACACAGTTGCGGCATATATTTGAATGAAAAGAAAGGAGATAAAATATACAACAGTGTGAATCATTTACTGTCACAATTAGAGAATTTATGGGTCGATCGTTTGACAGGAGTCCCGAAAATACACGGTGTGACAAAGTCAATGACGCCGCTACCCGCGTGGCGCCGACCAATGGATTGCGCAATCGAAAACGGCGGAAGAATAAAACAAAGGAAGAAACGTTCTGTGGCGCCAGAGAAGATGATGCAATCGGATGAGACAAAAGATTATACCAACAATAGCAGCGTTTCCAAGAAGCCACGTGTTGATGCGCAGCTGCAGTCGAGGGGACGAAACAAAAAGAAACAACTACAAAAAACCGGTCTGTGCTAGACTCTCCTACAGGGGTGGATTCTGAGAAATATTGACACACCTGCATTCTTCACCCCACCACTGCGCTGTCGCTGCTTCTACAACAATTCATTCATCGTCTAACCACTGTGCGGATCGAACGTGTGTACAGTTTTGCTTGACTTAAACTTTTTTCACTAAAACATTTATTATGCCAAAATGCGAGTCAGTCAGTGTCGGTGGTAGTGGAGGTGGAGGCAGCAGTGATGTGATGGACTTAAAAAATGAACTCAACGCCGTGCAATTAAACACGCCATACACGAAGATCATCGATCTTTGTGAAGAGTGCGCTTATCGTATTGTGAAATTCGAACGAGTGACCACACCGTACGGAGAGACTATCATGGTTGTGCTGGAAGGACTACTCGGCGATGAGCTCTACATCCGTGTCTACCTACCACGACGCTTTAACGAGGCGATCACAGATCAACGCATTGAGCAGTACAACAGGGGATTCGGTGATCGACTATGCCTCGTCAGAAGAAGCGCTCCAGCTGGCAGTAAATATACTCCATTGGAGTTTGTTTGAAATAAATTTAAATTAATGTACAAAACTGTTTTTATTATCATTTTTACTAACCTCAAAAAACTAATGATTATTGTAATTTTCTTAAAATGAAATTGTAACTTTGATAGGTTTTGTAAGTCAATACGTATAGTCACGTTCACAGCATAATCAAATAGTCTTTTTATTTACACTCCTTTTTCCCTATTGTTATAAATAATTATCATAAATTAGTTTGTGGTGTTGTTAGTGTAGTCAGTAAGCAAAATGGACTTGAGGTGGAAACATCCGTTTTCGGCCATAGTAGCCGGCCCTTCGGGCTCTGGTAAATCACAATTCGTCATGCGATTCATAGATCACTCAAATGAAATTTGTGATACGGATTTTGCTAACATATATTGGCATCATCCGCACTCGAATGATATTGTCCAACAGAGCAGTAGCAGTGGCAGCAGAGGCAGAGGTATTGTCCAGTACAGAAACAGTCTGCCAGACATGAACGATTTCGACGGAAGTGTACCTAATTTGATCATCGTGGACGATATGATGCGTGAAACAGACAGCAGTGTGGTGGATCTGTTTACTAAAGGATCACATCACAAAAGCTTGAGTGTTTTCTTTATAACGCAGAATCTGTTTCATCAAGGTCGCGGTCAGAGAGATATTTCCCTTAATGCTCATTACATAGTGTGTTTTAAGAACCCTAGAGATCGGGCTCAGATAAAACATTTAGCTCGTCAAATCTATCCGGATAATACTAAATTTATAGAGGAAGCATACGCGGACGCTACACGCGATCCACACGCATATCTGCTGATAGACTTAAAACAATCTACACCGGATGAGATGCGCATTCGTTCGACTATCTTTCCGGACGATCCGATTAATTCTGTATACCTACCGAAGATTAGTGGTAGCAGGGGCCACATTAATAATAAATAGAACACATCCACATCGGGTAAGTATCAGTCGTCATGTCGCAGTGTGTGAGGAAAGACGCGGCTCTACTGTCGGCACTCGTACACGCTACACCGAAGGAACGTAAAGCGCTGTTAAAGGTGTGCGACATCAGTCGTATACGGTCGGTGTGCGAGTGCGCATACAACCTGTTACGCGGTAACGTATCGGTGTCTGACAAACGCAAGAGACAATTGAACAAGTATAAAACAAATCTCAGACGATTGGTAAAAAGAGGTGAGACTTGGGCTAAGAAACGCCAATATCTAGTACAGAAAGGAGGCGGTTTCCTACTGCCCATACTGTTGAGCACCGTACTACAAGCCATACTTCATAAATCCATCCCACAATAATAATGGAGTACGCGAAGAAAATGGTCGTCGTACCGCAAGAGTTGATCGAGCGGTTACGAAACAGTGGTGACAACAACAACAACAACAACAACAACAACAAAAACAACAACAATGATAATATAAAGTCGTCATCGAATCGATTCGGAGATGACAGAGGCAACAGTATCGACAATGAAATGCATCGCATATTGACGGATAAAACTTTGAGCGATTACGAAAAATGGAAGCAATATCAACAGGTGTTGCAAAGATTTTTACATTTTGCCTCTGTCAATAGACAACCGATCAGTATTCCCATCATAGAGACATCAACATCATCATCATCATCAGCAGCATCATTACTGCAAGCAGCATCAGCGTCGTCGCCGCCACCCGGTACAGTGGAGGAGATAGTGGACACTTTTTCTAAAACGTACAAGCCGGATGTGCGTAATCTGTTACGATTCATCGTCCGCGAAGGTAGTGTGATAAATTGGGATAAGGACTTTGCGGTGTATGTGCGAAATGAAAAAATTCCCGATTCCAACATCGTGGACATATTACACTGCATAGTGAGAGTCCGTATGGTGGATTACATGCCCGCCGGTTGGTACGAAGTCATGAACGCGTTACGCGACATGAATGTGCCCAAGGAGTATATAAACAATTCAACGGCGTTACAGTATCTGGGTGCGGGATACAGATCGTTACGTGGTGACGTGGCGTCGGCTGCGGCAAGTAGTCCGATCATATCGTCGGCACCGAGAACACCTATGCGCGATCGTTTACGTTCTGCTTACGTTAATCAGCAGCGGACGCTATCACCTACTTCACCGTTACCCTCGTTGGCGGCTCATCGAAGACAACGAACACAACAACAGCAAGATAGAGATCAATCACTTTCACCGTTGGACAGGTGGGAACCGTTTTCACCATAGTGCGGATAAATCATGGAACGATTGTACTACGATCCCGAAGATCCGGCATCATACGGTGGCGTCACACCTCTAGTGCGAGCGATTCGTGACGGGATTGAGAAGAAAAACAATAACAAGGGGAAAAAGAAAAAGACAACACGAAAAGTGGTGTTGGACTGGTTACGAACACAAGACACTTACACATTGCACAAGCCGGTGCGTAAACGATTCGCACGCAACCGTTACGTTGTATTCGGTCCGGACGAATTGTGGCAAGCAGATTTGAATGACATGCGCGGTCTGAGTGCGTTCAACGACGGAATCAATTATCTGTTGACGGCGATAGACGTGTTCAGTAAAAGATTGTACGTGGTGCCGTTGAAAACTAAGAGCGGCGCCGAAGTGGCCAACGCGTTCGAGAACATATTTAAAAAAAACACCGTCACACCTCCGAGATGTCTGCAGACGGACAAGGGTACGGAATTCACCGGCGCCAAGGTGAAACAATTGTTCAGAAAATACAATGTCAGATACGTCACGACACAGAACCCCGACGTGAAATCGGCGGTCGTTGAACGTGTCAATCGCACTTTGAAATCACGCATGTGGCGCTATCTCACGTACAAAAACACGCACCGTTACATCAACGTGTTACAAAAACTGGTGAACGCCTACAATCGCAGTGCACACAGAAGTTTGGGCACTGACGGTGGCAGAGGCTTACGGCCGATAGACGTGAAGAAAGAAGATAAGAAAATCGTTTATAGAGTGTGGAAGAACATGTACAGCAGTGGCAGTGGCAGCGGCATCAAGACTAAATTGCCTAAGCGTAGAAAGGCGAAATTCATAGCGGGTGACACGGTGCGCATCGCTAAGGAAAAAGGTACGTTCACCAAAGGATACGAGACGAACTGGAGTAAAGAAGTGTTTGTCGTGGACCGCGAATATGGCCATCATCCGTTGCCGTTGTACTTGTTGCGTGATTTGAATGGATCACCATTGATCGGTCGTTTCTACGAAGAAGAATTGCAGAAGATCACTCTGCCACCGGACCGTCTGTACGAAATCGATAAAATACTTGACACCAAAGGTGTCGGTCGCAGTAAGCGTTACCTCGTCAAGTGGATAGGTTACGGTAACGAGTTTAACTCTTGGATACCGGCGTCGGAAGTTAAACAATTATAAGGCATGCATCAGCAAAAAAAAAAAAAATAATAATAATTATAATAAAAAAAAAATGAGCAAACACAGTCAGTTCTATTTGACACTGCCCAGTAACAGTTCGATGAACTACTATCCGAACAACACTGTGGCCGATTATATCACTCAACTGCCCACGTCGATACATCTGACGGACGGTGAATGGGAAGTGGCACTGGTCGAAGCGCATTATCCCTGTTCGTTTCTGACGGTGGGCAAAGACGCGAAGATATTCATCTACTACGAAGGTCTCAGCGACATAGCCACCGGTGGTTCCGACAAAACCAACAAAGTCAAGGTGAAAATTCTCAACGTTGAGCCCGGCAACTACAAAGATATCGAAGAACTGATACGTGTGATAAACACTATGGAAAGCTTACAGTTTTACGCCACGTTCGTCTACGACAGAAACACCAAAGTGGTGGATATAGCGATTCGCAGTCACGTGGTACAAATGGAATTGAGCACAGGTCTCGCGCTGCAGATGGGGTTTGATCCCGCCGAGACGGACTTGAAGAGCAACAAGAAAGCAAAACTGCCGGCCAACATACAAGCCGGACTGCCGGGTGACATGTACGTGTATTGCGATTTGGTCGAGCCACAATTGGTTGGCGATACGGTGGCGCCGTTATTGAAGATCGTCAACATCGATACGTCAAACTACGTGTACGGCGCACACAAGACCGTTCATTTCACGGATCCACACTACGTGCCCGTCATCAAGAGTGCGTTCGAGAACGTGGAAATCGACTTAAGGGGCAGCACGGGTGATCGACTGCCATTCCACTTCGGGACTACGTGCATGAAGCTACACCTGCGCCGATCGCTCGCGACAGCTTAAATAGACGACGACGACGACGACGACGACGACGACGACGACGACGACGATAGCATAAACATCAGTGGCAGCAGCAGCAGCAGCAACGATGAATACGAACGATCCGTATTTGGCATACTACCGGCGACAGTTGCAACAGTCGGGACATGGCGTGTCGTCCGTGTACAGAGATGCGGCATTCCAGCGTGGACACGGTATCGGCAGTTTTCTCGCCGGACTCGTACGTTCTGTGGCACCGTTACTGAAGTCCGGCGCGACCACTGTCGGCAAGGAGGCGTTACGTTCGGGAGTCGGATTCTTGGGTGACTTGGTGTCCGCCGGTGGTACGCAACATCCCAAGTACGCGGCTGCTGCTCGTCTCAAAGAATTTACCGGCTCGCTGAAACGCAGAGCTGATGACAAAGTAGAACGTGTATTGAGTGGCGGTGGCGCGGTGTATAAGAAAAGACGAATACGTCGCGTCACGCCACAGTCGTTGGCGACACTTCTAAGAGTACGGACGTCCACTGCTACCGCCACTAAACGGAGGAGGAAGAGGAGCATGAGAAAATATTCTACCGCCACCAAGAGACAGCATAAGAAAACGAATAAACGGCGCAGAACTACGACCAAAAGGATTAAAAGAACGAAAACTCGACGTTCTACAACAGGCAGTAAAAGGAGGACGACGCGCAGGAGCAGGTCTAAAAAGATTCGATCTACGAAAAGAACGAGAGCACGAGGAGGATTACCGACAATAGATATATTCAATTAGACGTGATAAAATTTTTCTACAACAACAACATGTCGTTCATCCATCAGAAATCGTGCGAATGTGTGAAAACCGAATTGGATTTATTCTCGTTACCACCCACTCAGACTAGTATAGAGAACGGTAAGTGGATTCAGTACAAGCCTATCTCGTCTTTGACAGACGATTCGCCTATAGAGTTCGTCATACCGGCTAACGGAGAAGAATACACGGACTTGACGCAAACACTGTTACACGTCGAGGCGACAATAGTGAAAGGCGACGGCACAAAAGTGGAAGAGGCGTTAGTGGAAGAAATTGGTCCGGTAAACAATTGGCTGCACTCACTGTTCAGTCAAGTGGATCTGTTCGTCAATCACAAACTGGTGTCACCGCAAAACAATACGTACGCGTATCGTGCCTATTTGGAAAACCTACTGAACTACGGTGGTAGTGCGAAAAAGTCACATCTCACGACTACGCTGTTCTACGAAGACAAAGCCGACAAAATGGACGATTGCGACATTGCCAACGACGGACTGGTCAAGCGACGAGGATTCGTCAAGAAGAGCACATACGTCGACATGGTGGGCAATTTACATCTGGACTTGTGCAATCAAGACAAGTTTATGTTGAACGGTGTCGAAATGCGATTGCGTCTCGTCAGAGCGAGAAACTCGTTTGCCGTCATGTCAAAAACTGCGACGGATTGCAAGGTGCACATTCGAGAGGCGAATCTGTTCGTCCGTCGTTGTAAGATCAATCCCGGCGTGTTGGTGGCGCACAGCAAGACGCTGGAGAGTGGCACGGCCAAGTATCCGATTACACGCGTGGACGTGAAATCCATCACGCTGCCGAGTGGTATCCTGGGCAAGACGTTGGACAGCGTGTTCCTGGGACAGTTGCCGAAACGTATCATCGTAGGACTGGTGGACAACGTGGCGTTCAACGGCGATTTCAAGAAGAACCCGTTCAATTTTCAACATTTCAATTTGAACTATTTCGCTCTTTACATCGACGGTGAACAAGTGCCCTGTAAGGCGTTGACACCGGCCTTCACGGGCGACTCAAAACTGTACGCTCTCGCATATCATACGTTGTTCACCGGCACCGGAATACAGTTCGCCGACAAGGGCAACGAGATCGACAGAACGGAGTATCCGAATGGCTACTGCTTGATGGCGTTCGACTTGACGCCGGACATGTCGGCCGGTGAATCAAGTCACTGGAACCTGGTGCGTAACGGTAATTTACGCATCGAACTGCAATTCAAAGAAGCGTTGGCCGCGTCCGTCAACTGTATAGTGTACGCCGAATTAGACAACGTCATCGAAGTGGATCGACACCGCAACGTGTCCGTGGATTTTAGTGGATAAAAACAACAACAAATAAAACAAAAATACATGAGCATCCGCAGCTCATGCCTACGTCACCGCCACTCAGCTCAGTCTAACATCGACATTCGACCGTGATGGATCGTTGTTACCGTCACGCTCCGTCGCGCCAGCAGACACAAACAACAACACATAGTTATAAACAGGAATCTACAGCAGTTGTTTTGGACTTACAATGTTTCAAGGACAACAACAACAACGAATTCATAGTGAAAGAGGCCAGTGTGGTCGACGTGTCAACCGGTACTTTGTTACTACATCACGTAGCACGTGCGCCGTTCGATCGTGATTCACTGTCCGCAGATAAACTCAGAGAGTCCTACTGGTTGACCAAACACTGTCACGGACTCGACTGGAATCGTGGTGACGTGCCCTACTACGTGTTGATTGATAAACTGCGCACATGTCTCTCACGTCGCAGTGTCGTCTATGTGAAAGGAGTGGAAAAGAAAGAATATGTCGTCAAGAATTTAATCGTCACCGCGTCGGACGGTATGACTATCGGACAGATTTTCGCACAGAATAACAAGTACGACAGATGGACCAACGAGATAGCTGCTGCTGCTGCTGCTGCTACCACCTCGACTACGGTTGTGGTGGACTTGAGCGATATGGGTTGTGGATCACTGGCTTCGGTCGGTAATCTACTGTCTGCCAACGTGTTGCGATGCGGTCAACACAAGAGCGTAAAACACCGTTGTTCACTGTCTAACTGCACTCTCTTACGCGGTTGGTTACTGCTTACTTCCGCTGCCACAAAAGAGAACGCACACTGCGGTTTGTCGTCGTGCTACCTTTGTAGTAGACAACAGTTGAGGACTTGCTACAATGACGAAGTTGACAACGGTATATCAACAGCTGCGGCTGCATCATCACCGTCACTGATAACCCAAGCATCGATGACAGTGACGACTACATCGATCAACAGCAGTGGTATCAGCGGTCTCGATACCATTTCCGAAGAAGAAGAAGAAGAGAACGAGGACAACAAATACGAAGAAGGAGACGGCTACGACTACGAAGAATTATAATAATTAAATGATAATGAATACTACCGACATCACGAAATATTTGTCTCAACTACCACGCGAGAAAATAGCGAACACAGGAGTGTACGCGTCAGACCGCCTGCCAACACGTATCGAACCTTTGACGGCCATAGTAGTCAACACAATGCCGCACACGGAAAGCGGGGAACATTGGGTGGCCTTCTACATGGACAGTGAAGCTACGCATATAGAATATTTCGACAGTTTCGGCCGTCAACCGTTTTTGGCCGAATACCAACAGTTTCTCAGACGAAATTCTCGTCGTTACGTCTCGAACAAGTACCAACACCAACGCCACGACACTTCCGTGTGTGGACACTACTGTCTAACTTACCTGTACTGTCGCATAATGTACGACAAGACAATGAACGATTTTGTACAGCTGTTCAACGGTGACACCTCTTCTGTCATCACACCCACCGATGCAGCCAACAACGACTTCCTGGTCCGAAGACTCTTCCATATGCTTTATCACCACTGACCATACCATACACTTACCTGAGTTTTTCTTTCTATTTGAATTGTATAAATATCGAATTGAATTTTTGCAAAAAAATATATATTTATAATTATCTAATGTACATTAGAATTAGTAAATTTGGGAAAAATAAAAACACATGTTTATATTGAAAAATATTTGGTTTTGCTTTATTTACCATTATGACTCTATATAAATCAAAACAAGTTAGTGACAATTCACTATATATTTTATTATTATAATAACATCATATAAATAAATATTAAATTAAAACAATTTTTTTTTATCTAATATCACAGTTAAATTAATTTATTACTTTATTCAATATAAAATCTGAATGAAATTAGTAACTAAAAATTGTTACTAATTCAATACTAATTGATTCCTAAATAAATTAGAATTTATTACCTAATAAAATTTAATTCCTAGTATATTTGGTTCCTAATATAATTAACTAGTTGTTGTCCGTCAATTGTCTTTGCCATCACCACCACGACGACGATCCGAGGCTTATGCACCGCAAACACGCGCACTATGTAGATGTTATTGTTGTACTGCTTCAATCTACTTCTTCGATGTCAACGTCGTTATCGCTCGCATCCATTGTCGCTGACGGTGACGATGCAATGTTGCGACGACTGTGGCATCTACTGGAGTTCCCGTTGCTGTCTTCTGGAGCCAAAAGCATTGCCCGGTGCGCTGGAATTTTATAGTGACCCCACGGTAACGTATTGACGCCGTCCTCTTCGATATAACGTTTGTCGTCGTACGGCGCCATCGATCGTTTCGACACCACAACGGAGTATATTATGTGGTGTCGGGACTGAAACCGATCGTTATCCGTGTACAAGACCCGCTGTTCCTGTAGACATCGTCTGTAATCGTCTACAGTCAGGCCTTTGGCCACTACGGCGCGATTCACCCCCTTGGCCCGTTTCACAGGTGGTAAACCGTCGCCGACACCGTCTTCGCTGCTATCGCTCCGCAGGAACATGAAGCAGTACAGTTTCGCCATCAGGCCGATGAATTCACTAATGATCGCCCCATTGGCTTCGTCCTTGAATTTCCCCAGGACCCGGGCGTTGGTTGGATCGTAGCAGATATGGTCCCGGGGATAGTTGCTGGTGTCGAAGTCGTCCAGGTGATTCATCATGTCCTCGTAGACGTCTACGGTACGGATTAAATAGATCAGCCCGTCTGTGTCTATGTAGAGAAGTCTGAGCCGATCTATTCCATACCGCTCTTGCAGACGGTAGTGGAATCCGTACATCCACGTCTTACTGTGGTCCAGAATGCACATACCCGCGTACACCGGCTTGTCCAAGATGACGCGGACTTTCTTCATGTGTAGTAGGGCCAAGTCTTTGTTGTACCACGTCCGGTCACTGAAATTAGACTTGGCCACATACTTGGTGTACGTTTTCGGGTTTGTAGCCAATTTTATGTTAATATGTTTTCTTACATTCTGGAGGCTCATACCATAGACAGCGTTGACCATAAGCTTAAATAGTTCCACCTCGAACTTGTTCTTGGCCTGCTGCCTGAGTCTGGTATTCATCGCCACGTACGGTTGTAGCCACTTTCGCTGCTTGAAGCGCAGAACACGATGTATCCGACGCACACGCAATCCGTTGTCCATCGCCTGCTGAAGTGCTCGATAATGGATTACGTATGCGTCTTTATCAAACAGGGTGACCATTAGTTTAGCAGATTTGCCTACGCTGTATGTGCGGAGGACGTCGTCCGCATATGGCAATTGGTCTCGAGGCGCTTTCCGCAGTTCCGGACAGAACGGTAGGTCTCGGTGTTTGTCATGGAGTCGAGGATCTCGTGGATACTCCAAATCCACCTCCAAGACGTAGCCTACATCTCCGTCTGCCGGTATGTCCTCGATAACCAATTCGTCTATTTCCTGACGCGACAGCCACTCGAAATCTTTGTACGGGAGCGACTGCGACATGGCCCATCCGTATAGGTTGTTCGCGTCGTAGTACATAATATAATCTCCATATATGTGGTTGTTGTTATCTACGGCGCTAACACTAGTCGAAGGTGCGAACCGACCGTCTCGGCTGACGCCATTTTCAATTCGCCTCTTATTGTTGCTACTCCTGCTACCACCTGCTGATGTTGAAGGATTGTTGACGGTGGTAGCGTTGGTGTATTTATTATTGGCGACAGCGTGTCGGGTTGCGCACTGGGTCAAGCCACCCCGGATCCCTTTCTCGAAGAACAGGTACATATCTACGTCCTGTAGGGTATCCAGGGTCACGTCAGTTTTGAAAAGCATCACGTCCCAAGCGTACGACGGTAAGGTCAACCAGTGGGCTGGATCGAGGTCGTAATGTTCCAGACACTGGTCCCGAAAGCCCTCGAAGACGTCCGCCAACAGCAACACGTCTGTTTTCAAATACAAGTCGGCATAGTCTCCGAGGGTTGTGCAATTGAAGTGTGACCATACGCGTCGGGCGTGAGCATAATCTTCTTCTTTTACGTCCTCCTTGCGTAGGCTGTCTCTGAAGGATTCTGGTGGCGGTAACACGTTTTCGTCCAATACCGAGAGTGACGTTACGTACTCGTATGGAAAAACTCCTTTGCGATGTACTAATGCAAAGTCAGCATCGGCAGGAAAAAAGGATTTTGTGATTTTAAGATGTTCTATTGGCATAAGGGAAACTAAATTTGACAAGGCTCGGGACAAAAATCTATAAGAATCTACAAATCTAAGTGTGAGTCGGTTGTGACGATTCGCACCGTCATGTACGAATCGTTTACTGAAGGAGATGTATTTTTCTTCTGTGTTGGCGAGTACGTTTACGTCACCCCCGTCTATGGCCAGCTCTCTTACCACAAAATGAGCATCATAATTGCTCAAATTGTGGAAGTAGCAATGTATCGTGTCTTGCTCCTTGAATTTTAAATTGCAAGACCGATGTGCTGCACCTCGAAACGTGTAGGGGGTGAGTGTTGGTGATCACGAACTGCTGGATCGTTTCGGCCGTCACCGTCACCGTCGACGAATGGTTTCTTACAGATGTGACATCTGGTGGCGGCACGAAACTCCGCTTCTTGCTGCGCATCTAATTGTGGTTCGGTCCGGCGTGTTTTGTACAAAACATCTCCTATACGCCGGACGTCTTTCTTGATGGATTCCATAAAATGATGCGCAGCGTTCTCACCCCTATAGAGACGAAGTTCCGAAAACGTGTTACCGCGGTCCTCTTGATTGGCTCCTAACCTGTGGCTATCACGAACGTAGTAAGCGTACGCGTACGGTCTGTGAACCTTCCTTGTCCTGACATGATCAGAATCCGGTCTATTGTTTTTATGTGGTTTTCCCCCTCGCTGTGTTGCTGGATCTTCATCCGGAGGGGGAACTGTCGGTGGATCTGTGAGAGGTTGGTCGTCTTCTTGATCGTATGGTACGAGCGCACACTCAAAGTCGGCATAAATAGTAAATCTTTGTCGCTGTGTACGCTCGTACCTATCAAACTTAATGTGTTTCTTAGGAGCCAGATCGGTGCGCAACGGCGCATGGTCTAAACAATATTTCTTGTGTTCTGCAAGTCGCTGCTCACCCCGTTTACCGTCAACTGTCGGTGTGTTGTCAAAATGAGCGAAACAGCGCTTGCAAATGAACAATCTACCATGGTGTCGAGTGATCTGGCTCCTGACCAATCTCTCGAAGTTTTTGATGAGTGCATAATGTGTAGTTTCATGATCTGACAGGTACAAGAGGTCGAAATGGTCATCGAGTTCTCGGTCTACTACACGGAGTGGATATACGATGTATTCGTACTTTGATGTTAATTGACCGTCTCTCCGTGTAGTCCGGACCCGATCCAATCCGTACACGTTTACGCTTACTCCAACGTTTCTCTTCTCAAATGTCGGGATTTGCTCCAGCCGTACAGGAAAAGTTAATTGGGAAAAATCTAAATCAATTCGCGCACGGAACTCGGGTGAAAAGTCCGTGGCGTTTAGCTGGTGACGATAGGGATTATGAATAAATTTGGACAAAATGGCGTACATGAAGCATTTTTGATCCCGATCATTCAGCACGTTGATCACGGCCTTTTTAGCAGCGACGCTTTGGGGCAACGGGACGTACGAGCTACCTCCGAGAGGTCGGTAAACATTGACGCGGATCTCCATGTCTACGATCCTCGCGAAGGTCCAGCCCGAGCCCTTCATTTCGCACGCCTCCTTTTCGTCCACCAACTTTTGAAACAAATTACTACACAGTTCATCTATGTCGGTGGACCGGAGAACGGCGACATTCTTTGTCTTAAAGGCGCGTCGACACGTTTGGTCGTGAACGTTCGTGAATTCGCAATCTAGCCACAGGTTGGTCTTGATGGCTGTCACGTGTTCCAATATGCGGTGCATAAGCGTTACAATATCCTCAAACAATTGAGTCAGAAACTCCGGGATAGTAAGCCGAGAAGGCGCTTCGTCACGTAATCTGTACGTTTTTAATCGTCCGCGAAACGCCGTCTCGACTTCTTCAAAATTCTCAGGTGCAATATTCCCCGGAATTTCTGACGGTTCGTCACTACCACTACCACTACCACTACCACTAGGGCTGTAACTACTACTACCTTGGCTGCCACCGCCTCCATGTTGATTGGACGGTCCTGCAGTTGGTGGAGGCGGTGTCGGTGGTGGCGGTGGGGGTGGTGGAGGAGAATCCTCGGTGCCCCATATTTTCACCCTCTTCGACCTACAGTGAAAACGCAAGTGTCTGTTCATGCTGAACTCTGTTTTGAACTGGCGGCCGCACTCAGGGCACCGAAATCTCTTGAGGGATATCGCTGCCGGACAGTTGGCCTCCATATGTCTTCTGAGGCAAAATCTTCTGCCAAAGGCTCGACCACAGTCCGGACAAACGTATCGCGTCGCTGGGGGCGGTGGTGATGGCTGTGGGGGTGTCGGGCTGCTGCTGCTGCTGCTGCTGCTGCCACGGACGCCAGAGTTGATGGGGCTGTGGTGGCGGCGGCGGCTGTTGCTGCTGCTGATGTGGCGGTGGCGGCGGCGGCGGCGGCGGCGGCGGCGGCGACGGCGACGGCGATGGCACCGATGAAGCGCCGGTGGGAGACGGGGTCGTCAAATCTTAGATAAACAAACAAACAAAATATTTAATTAATATTTGATTTATTTAATAACTCTTTTTGAATCTATAATTGAATCAATAAAACTTTTATTTACAATTGAATCAATAGCATTTTTATTTATTATTCAGTCAATTAGTTTTGATTTATAATTCAATCCTTTCATTTTAATTTACAATTCAATCAATACATTTTAATTTATTATTCAATTATGTTATTAATTTATTTTTATTTTATTTTATTTTTATATATATACATATATTTTTTTTTTACTTTACGTTAATCAAGTTTAATTTATTTTGATTATTTATGTTTAAGATAATTAAGACTTTTTTCACAAATAGGATATATATATTTTAAGTACAAATAATAATTACCGATAATAGAATGGTCGGGTGACGAGTTGTGGTCTACATTGTCGTCGTCGTCGACGTCGTTGACACTGTCTCCTTTGGACAATGGACCAGCCATCATGTCTGCCTCCTCTCGCATACTAGCAGAACGGCTCTCTGAAATCAAATGATCAGTTTCTTCAATCGATTGTTAATTTATAGCAGCTAATTGTAAAGAACAATCGTTATTGAAATAAATCCAATCATAAAGATATTTTTTTTTTATAAAAACTAAATTGAAAGGAATTGAATGAATTTATTAATAAATAATTTATCTATTTATTTTGGAAGAAATTTTAAATAAATATTTCTTTTTGTAGATAATAAACTGAGTAGAAAAGAATATTTATAAATTGGTTTATAAATAAAATTTATGTTATAAACCGAATAACAAAGAATCTTGTATTGAAACATTAATCTATTAACTAAATTTATCTTTTATTTATTTATTTATTTTTTTTATATATAAATCATATCCTTATTACCTCCCCGAACATTATCGACGAGCATCTGACGAGCCCCGTTGGTGTCTTCGTCCTCGTCCTCGTCCTCGCTGAGACCGGCCCATTCGTCCAGGGTCGACTGGACGCTGACGAGGTGGGTCACCCGAAGATGATCCCGAAGCTCACGCCGGCTCCCGAACGACGCCATGCAGCACCGACATGTGGCTGTCTCAGCTTCTATAGTAAACAATAACGACCCCCAGAATAGTTAATGTCGTATATTTTGAAAGAATATTTAAATAAATATATATTCTTTTGACCTATTTGCAATGAGTTTTTTTTTTTTTTTTTTTTTTTTGTTAAAATAAATTAAAATTTAATTATGAGCCATTTATAAATAATCTTCTCCTCGTTCAGATGTGAAAGAATAATTCTATCCTGTCAATGTAGAAAAAAAATTCGGTCATTAAAACGAATGAATGCATACGATTAACTTTATTTTATTTATTTATTTTTTTTTTTTATTAATATACAAACCTTCAGGTTCTAGCTGACTATCAGTAAGCATAGGCACGTCGAGCAGCTCTTCGATCGTCCCCGATGCATTGTCGTCATCATCGTCGTCAATCTCCGGCGACTCAAACCGTTGATGGTGAATCTGCGGCGGAGTTGGTAACGGACCACAGTGCGACGCGTGAGTCACCGCATAGTGCTGTCGAACATGATCATGGCAAGAAAACGTCCTGTCACAACATTCACACTCGTATCCACCGGTCTGTAGGTGGACCGTGTGATAATGGTGCAGGGCGTGTTCATGACACGAGAATGGTCGATCGCACACGGGACACACGTTCGGACCGAGGTACGTCGGCGGCGGTGGTGATTGCACGTCTCCGTTCATCTACAGCAAGACACGCGACAGAAATAATAATTAATTATTCATAAAAAAAATTAAATAATATCTTTGATTATGCCAGTGTAGTCTAAAATTTAAGCTAAACCTGTCCTGAACCAATGTCACATATTCAAAAAATAGAATAACATTTAAGTAAAAAAAAAACAAATTAATACCGTATGCAGTATATAGTAACCACTCAGTTCCGGAGGTGTAGGATGACCAGGGGCGGGGGGGGGGATGTGCAGGGGGAGGGGGAGGTGCAGTGGGAGGGGAAGGTGCAGTGGGAGGGGGAGGTGCAGGGGGAGGGGGAGGTGCAGGGGGAGGGGGAGGTGCAGGGGTGAGGGGGAGACACTCACACGCATGCGCACCCACACGCACGCGCACCCACACAACAAACTATTTTTTAAAATTTTTATAAAGTCAAAAGCTTTGTTGCTTCCTATCATTCATAATATAGCATAAATAATCTGTAACTTATTTTTAGCTTTGTTTTAGATAAATAACTATATTTATATTTGCATGTAGAATTTATTGTCTTTCTAAAAACCGTGTTCTTATTAAATTATTCTAATTTTTTTTTATATTTATAACATAAGTGTTATTTATATGATTAAAACTGTTGCAATAGGAAATGTCTACTCACTGTTCTGTTAAAGTTACAAAGAAGGAAAAATGAACTGTTTGCTGCCAGAAACAAGAAAATGAAATGTGTTTTTCATCCCGCGCGTGCTTTGCATGGCACATGGGATTATGTAATTAATTTAAGAATTGCATGAATGAAATTGATTGAATTGAATTGAATTGAAAAAATTTGAACTTATTTTTAATGTATATGTGTTAGAAATATTGTTCAAAGAAACATAGTAATGTTTAATGTGATTCGATGATTTTGCAATATGATAACGCCTCGTATTACAGACAGGAGTACTTCTTTTAATAATATAAATTTATCTTTAAAATAAAATGAATTAGCAATATTAAAATATTATTCAAAATAGACTCACAGAAAATTAACATTGACTTTGACTAGACGTTTATGCAATATGATAAAGACATGTATAATAATTACAACTGATTTTAATGGATTTCAATTTGTTTAAAGTACAATAATATTAAAATAATTTTTTTTTTCCTGAGATAGACTCTTAAAAAAATAAACACTGCCTTTGACTCGATGATTACACAATATGCCAAAGACAGTTATTATAATTGTTAAATCTCCTAAAATGTGTAGTAATACTATTATACACTTATTATGTATTAATATTAACTCTAGTACTTACGATTTAATCCAAACAAACACTTGCACAACACTGTTCACTAATTTCCGTTGAGCGTGGTAGCTAAGAAACTAACAACTGCACACAGCGAACTCCAAACCCTAACTGAAGCTCTTGTGGCAAAAGGCAGAGACACGACGCACGGAGGGTGGAATCTTCCACGAAGATCCAGTGGTAAACAACACTTGTTCCTTTGTCGGTGTCAATCGACGGAACGTTCTAGAAGGTTTCCTTTGTTAGTGAACTAAACAAAGCTTTTTAGATACTTGTCAAGATTTGCTCACCTTCGTCAAATGTAATGGTCTTACTAAAAGCTTTTAGAAACTCAAATAATGGATCCGTCAATCACTCGTTAAGTGGATTTCTTTGTCTGTGCCAATAGGCAGAGACACGACGCACGGAGGGTGGAAACTCCACGAAGATCCAGTGGTAAACAACAGGTGTTCCTTTGTCGTCGACAATCAAAGGAACGTTCTCGAAAGGAACCTTTGTTAGTGTACTAAACAAAGCTTTTTAGATGCTTGTCAAGATTTGCTCACCTTCGTCAAATGTAATGGTCTTACTAATGGATCTGTCAATCACCTGTTAAGTGGATATCTTTGTATCCTAGGATCAAGGGGAGTGCTGCTGATAATTGCTTTCCGTTGTATTGAAAAATCAAAGGGATAGCCGACTACACCTCTCTCCGTTGGAGGTCTAGCACATCCCAGGATGTGCCGGTGTATCGAAACATCAAAGAGAGCGCCACCGATAATTGCTTCCATTGTATCGAAGCTTCAAAGGGATAGCCACCAGCACTTCGCTCCGTGGGTGGTCTGGCACATCCGGAGGTGCAGGATGACTAAGGGGGATGTGCAGGGTGAGGGGGATGTGCAGGGTGAGGGGGGTGTGCAGGGGGAGGGGGATGTGCAGGGGGAGGGGGAGGTGCAGTGGCGTGGGGAGGTGCATGGCGGGGGAGGTGCAGGGGGGAGGGGGATGTGCAGTGGGAGGGGGATGTGCAGGGGGAGGGGGAGGTGCAGTGGGAGGGGGAGGTGCAGGGGGAGGTGCAGGGGGGAGGGGGGGGGAGGTGCCACCGTGGGTGGTCTGGCACATCACTGCACATCAATTGCACATCGCGCAAGGTACCCATAACAATACTACTAGCGTATACGGATATATGTGAATTTGATGGATTGTGTTTTTGGCCTCTGGGGACCTCAAAACGTACAAGTAAATCGGTGCCGGGTCTAGGTCTTACCATGAGACTTACGGTAATAGCGTACTATCACCGTAGCGGTGATAGTACGCCGCACCGTAGCGTACTATCACCGTACTATGACGAACGCTATTTTTCACCAAACTATATCCTATAACCACTATTCACCACAATAATAATGCAAACTAACAGTCAACACAACAAAAATAATAATAAATAGTTGCTAGGCAGCGGTGACGATAAAACATTTTTGTTGCAATGCTATGGATACTGATTGTGTATTTAATATGCATTCATGTTTTAAGAAAGTAAGCGAGCAGCTGATTTTGCGGCCCTAGGGATGTAAAAACCTGCTTGGTCCCCAAATGACTATGACAGCTGGCATGGCCAGCAAAACGTAACTTTCAGCCACCAATTATTAACGTATCTAAATCAGCTAAAAACATCATAGTGTGGTGAAAACGTTTATTTAGTTTTCAGCATAGCTTATGCTTTAGGCTTTTTATAGCTTTCGTCAGTCATTGGGCTCATGTAATACGCACATTGCGTGCGATCGAGGAAATGATTTATTCATCCCATAAATATCTTTATACCGAATAGATTATTGAGCTTAACTTAAGTAACTTAATTTTTGAGTTTCAGAATGCGTGTCTGTTTTTAAATAACAGCTACATTTAAAACCAAAAATACCCCCACCGCAACAGACCTGCAGACCAAGTGAATTCCCTTTCGTGTAATTGGATTTTCACCAAAATATATCTTTAAAAACGACATATCTAAATAAAATTAATCCAACTAGTACTTAGGTTTACTGCTATATGGAAGGTAAAAGGAGTTTTCAATCAAATGTTAAAAGTATAGGATGAAATAAATACATTTTCCAAATTTGATTAAAATATACCCATACAAAAGTATAAACTACAATAGTTTACTTCTTAACTCATAACAATAACAGGATTTTAAAATTTCGTTTTTTTTATTTTCTCCTCTAGCACATAACAACGTTTCAATATACTAAGTTATTTGTTTTTAAGCTCTACAAAATGGTCTAGAAAGAAATGCAAAATTTTCTGTTTTTAGGGTAAAAAATTGAAAGACCCCAATTTTTACCCCATTACCGACCCCATAAGGCCATAAACCCTTGTTCCAATGGGTTAACATGCTATTTTAGCGAAAAAAATAAATAAATAAATAAAACGAAAAAATAAATCGGTCCTGGGTCCAGGTCTTACGATGAGACTTACGGTAATAGCGTATTTCCTGTATGGGGAATTCGCTAATAAAGTTTATAAGTAACTGAATAGAAATGACATAATCGGGTGCAATATGTTTAAAAATACTGTCCTTCAATTGGATACTCTAATTATTGGTCTGTAAAACATGTACAGTATTAGGAATGATTCTTATTTTCAATTCCATAAACCAACGTCGGTATTCTATATATTTGGATTGTGCACTTAAAACTTTTTCAAAAAGTGTACTCGTAAAATGGTTTAGAAAGGCTAGACAGAATTATGTCTATTGGGTTCGTTCCAATATTACTGTGAAGAGACTTACAGTAGGCTATTATAAGTTTTTTCAAAGTTTCATTAAAATAATAGAATTTAAAATAGTTTATATTATAATACAAATTTAATAAATGAGGTTACAGTTCATTCCGAATTTTTTTTTGCCAACGAACTTGTCAAAAGTTCAAATGATTTCACAGATATCACTCAATTTGAATCGAACAGGAACTTTAACGAAGTGGTGGAACATGGGCGCAGAGTGTGCTAACATTGAACTGTTACCGTTAGATTATGGGAGACATTCAGTTGGAGCTCCCGCGTGAGCTGCGAGGTCTCACTTATGAGTTTTGCGTTTTTCTCGTTTGATCGGGTTTTGCAGGTGGTCCATTGTAGCAGTGTGTCCTTGTAGTTGACCTCGTGTGGTAGACTATATCACCACCTCCACTGTACACTGTACAGACTACAGTAAGATGCCGTCCGTTGTAGAGTACACGGCCGTGGGAGGCGAGAGCGAGCAGCTCCTAGACCGCTACTTCCTCACAGTGTTCAGACACGGCTATCTACGATGCCAGGGGACCGTCCTCCCTGTCTACTACCGACAATTCGCACAGGACATCCTCAACCTTGAGATACGCGAACAGGACGTTTGGGTCTGCAGCTTCCCCAAGACTGGTAACTTACTTGCTTACAGCCTAAAGCATGGCAACAAGTTCACTGTGATTTTATACAATATATGTAATCAAAACCGCATCTTTTATTTTGTCTATAGGTCTATAATAGAATAAAAAGTTCAGCATGAGCATCATTTTTAGTTGTGAATTTTTGTATTCTTATACTAGCTGTTAGCCCGTCATACGCACGGGAATCAATTACTCAGCTGTATTTGATTCGTGAGCTTGTTTCACGGGGTAAACGATAAACGCAAACACAGTGTTCGTAATAGTATATTTCGTACCTATTAGGGCCGAAAATGAGTAGGCTCGAGACAGTTTTTAAGTTCGAGACAAAGTCGAGAACTTAAAATGATCGAGAGCTGCAAAACCATTTGGGTCCGTGGTACGAACGCTATTTTTCACCAAACTATATCCTATAACCACTATTCACCACAATAATAATGCAAACTAACAGTCAACACAACAAAAATAATAATAAATAGTTGCTAGGCAGCGGTGACGATAAAACATTTTTGTTGCAATGCTATGGATACTGATTGTGTATTTAATATGCATTCATGTTTTAAGAAAGTAAGCGAGCAGCTGATTTTGCGGCCCTAGGGATGTAAAAACCTGCTTGGTCCCCAAATGACTATGACAGCTGGCATGGCCAGCAAAACGTAACTTTCAGCCACCAATTATTAACGTATCTAAATCAGCTAAAAACATCATAGTGTGGTGAAAACGTTTATTTAGTTTTCAGCATAGCTTATGCTTTAGGCTTTTTATAGCTTTCGTCAGTCATTGGGCTCATGTAATACGCACATTGCGTGCGATCGAGGAAATGATTTATTCATCCCATAAATATCTTTATACCGAATAGATTATTGAGCTTAACTTAAGTAACTTAATTTTTGAGTTTCAGAATGCGTGTCTGTTTTTAAATAACAGCTACATTTAAAACCAAAAATACCCCCACCGCAACAGACCTGCAGACCAAGTGAATTCCCTTTCGTGTAATTGGATTTTCACCAAAATATATCTTTAAAAACGACATATCTAAATAAAATTAATCCAACTAGTACTTAGGTTTACTGCTATATGGAAGGTAAAAGGAGTTTTCAATCAAATGTTAAAAGTATAGGATGAAATAAATACATTTTCCAAATTTGATTAAAATATACCCATACAAAAGTATAAACTACAATAGTTTACTTCTTAACTCATAACAATAACAGGATTTTAAAATTTCGTTTTTTTTATTTTCTCCTCTAGCACATAACAACGTTTCAATATACTAAGTTATTTGTTTTTAAGCTCTACAAAATGGTCTAGAAAGAAATGCAAAATTTTCTGTTTTTAGGGTAAAAAATTGAAAGACCCCAATTTTTACCCCATTACCGACCCCATAAGGCCATAAACCCTTGTTCCAATGGGTTAACATGCTATTTTAGCGAAAAAAATAAATAAATAAATAAAACGAAAAAATAAATTGGTCCTGGGTCCAGGTCTTACGATGAGACTAGACCTACGGCAATAGCATTATTTTCTATATAAGAAACTCGCTAGAAGACCTGCAATGAACATGGTTCTCATTAAAGTGATCAAACCTTTTCTTAACTACACACCATCCTGATAATTAGACCAATTCGTATATACCAAGGCAAAAATGTGGTTCGGATTCCACTTTAAACTGTAGGTCCCTTAGTTGCCATTAACTGTATGGGCTATTAATTAACAGCTGTGTCTACGGAATATGTCGGCCTTAGTCACTAACAAGACTACAAGATCGCGCCACTCATCCTACACTCATCTCCATTCATACTTGGCTTAAAATACCTACTATGTGTGGTCGCCATTTCATCAAAAAGTATTAACATTATTACCGATATATTTCAATCACTGTCTCGTCGTACTTCTCTCTATTGGTAGGTTTATCGGACAATTTTAATTCATAACCTTATTGTAGTTTTTCCTAAACATTCTTCCCACTAGGGGTAGCATAACGCAATAGAGTAAGTGCTATAGTGTACATACGCATCGTCTAGTCGCGTGAGAGGGTACTTGTCGTCAAATCAATGAATATACCTACAGGATAATCAATGTTTACCCTAGGATTTCGTCTATCACAAGCAATAAATTAGAGCCCCTCTTTGTATACCTCTCGTCGTAGCAAAAAGGTGCAGAAGTAAGTTCCATTCTAGCTAGACGAACGAGTTTTCTAGTATATTAAATAACGATTAAATAGATCAAATTTCGTCCGACAACTTTGAACCTGGCCTTTGGTTGTTGGTTTGGGGTAAAACTATTTTCTTACCTACTGACAAATTTCAATAAATTTAAATGATGGTTGAATCGTGATAATGTGACTCACACTTTTATTTTATAGCGAAACGAAGACAACATGTATACAAAGTTATTGTTAGACGTACAAGTGCGGGCCGTTGTGAATTGTTGACTTTCTAAATTTATCATCAAGATTCTCTGACTGAATATAACACAAAGGGAAAGTAGGACGGTGCGATGCTAAATTGGTTTAAAGCTGGTTGGTCTAAGAAACAAAATATAAATGCAGTATTTAAACTTACTTAGAATATGGACATTTCAGTTTTCTAGGTCCATTGGTTTGAACCTAGGTAAACGCTTCTAGGCAACCTATTTGAACCTTTCTTAACATTTACTACACAAGGTGGAAAATATGTCCCGAACGGTTAAATATCTCAAAAAATAATAAAGATGGAGCTACGAAACTTGGTACAAATTCACTGGACATAAAACTATTTAAAAACATTATTCAGTGTTACCTACGCTGACTCCTTAGGGGGGTCAGAAAAAATCTTAAATGTAAGCATAGGTTTTGATAATATGCACATCAAATCAAATTAAAGGTATTTGTTAGTCAAATATAATGCGGCAAACTCAAACGGACAAACGAGTAAAAAATGACAGCCGTTGAAGTTTCGTAGCTATATCTTTATTATTTTTCACCACTGTCCGGAAAGCAGCCGTTTTGCAGTTCTCCAAATAGTCCGCTAATTCATCGTTTTCGGGTAACTTCAAAGAGGGAACAGAAAAACACAAATGGTAAATTTTTCGGTTCGATAATATCAAAAATGTATCAGTAGATTATGAAAACACTGATAATCACACGACATTTAAAGTTATGTTTGTAAACAACAGAAATGTAAACATTGATGACGACTTCATATAACCTCAAATTATGTGGTGTAATTTTGTAACGATTGGTAGGTTATTTCCACCGCAGAGGATACGCGTCCGGTAACCGGACGTGGATTAGGCGTCCGGCAGTTACTGTCATAACCTAACCTAACCAACCAAACTTGCTGATAGTGAAAAAAATCAAATGAAGGTTCCATTCTCATCATAACATAAAATTATAAATGCCAAAAATTCTAACAAAAGATGTACAGTTAAGAAGAAATTACATTCAAAGAAAAATCTGTGACAAAAAGTTATAGTTACCGATAGGTTTCGAACCGGGGATCTCTCGCATATCAGTCGAGCACTCTATCCACTACACCACGATCACTGATGGCTGAACATCGTATCATTGTGGTAATGGCGTTCCGGGACCCCCTACCGGACGCCTAATCCACGTCTGGTTACCGGACGCCTAATCCACGTCCGGTTACCGGACGCGTATCCTCTGTGTATTTCCACAGTATGATGTAAATAGTTGCTCATCACTCGGAGCGAAAGTCTCTTTTTGGTACTTAATTGTATTTCCACCCAGGCTCGGCTCTCCAAACTTGAAACTCGGTATACTTCTAGGGTACCTAGATAATTGTTATCCGCCTTCACGAAGGCTAATCAGCGTGTGCAATCTTCCAGAGCAAACCACCATGTCGGTCGATTTCACGCTTTTGGCAGTTTTTACACTTGGTGATTGCTCGGCTCTTTAATTTCGATCGTGTCAAGGACTATAGCTAATACTCTTCTCGACGTGGCGTCCAGACACAATCACACACACGCGAGCGCGCCTATCAACGGGTGCCTGTGATCAAGGTCGCAGGTTTCACCGAGCAAGTTCACAATGATGTTTGATTACCCAAGGCCATGTACCAAGCTTCGATATGGCACTTCCGCACTTCCGTGTCTCCACACGAACTGACAAATTTAATAATGACATCAATTATATTGCGAATGATATTGCATTTATGTAATTTACTCTGTACGAAAGTAACATAAATCTTAACATGATCAATTATATTTGCAACTATAAATAAATAGTTAGTATGATATAAAACAATACTTTTTTAAAGAACGATTTAACTGGCATCATGGGAGTATGTTTTATCTATGATGCTAGTATGGCAGGTACAAAATAGATTACAGTAACTCCATGATGGACATGGAGGGATTCCATAGACTATAGATTGTGCTTTGGGTCATCCACTAATACCATAATAACCATCAAGTAATCAGTTCATTTCCGTTATTCTGTCATGTCCGTTTGATTTTAAACATAAAACCTTACAATGATGTTTTAATTGTTGTCTTACTTATTCATAACAACAATAATCAATAATATTCATAATCATAAGTACCAGGGACGAGCCTTATTTGGTTGTGTGTAATTTGTTTGGGTGGTTAAAGTTAAAACACTATAAAACAGACACATAATGTATAATAGATATCAAATATTGGTTTTATTAGGTACAGTAACGTAAAAAAGGAAAAAGGTATTAGGCGATTGCCAAACTGACAAATATACCAAACAATAAAATAAAACTGAAAACTCCATCTATTTTCATCTCTACTTTAAAGAAAACATATGATTGGGATTTATTTTTAATTTGTTTTGGTTTTCTGTTTATATTTTGTTGTTATTGCGTCACCAGCATGGCAACACATCTGTAATTTTTTTTATTTTATTTAATTTTTGTGTTTATTTTTTAGCCTTACAGTTTAACATATAAAAGGTATTCTGCACAACTAAAGGCAAATATCTTTCTAACAGTATGCGTAGATTTTCCCTGCGATGCACAGGAGCTGAGAAAAAAGGTTTTAAATAAACATGCTTGTCTATTAATTCTGTATAGGCTTAGCTCCATGTTAAATCTCCATAAGAAAAGTTGAATTCCTATTTTTGATACAATTAACATAAATATTCTCAAATTGCAAGTGAGAAGTGAGAAAAAGGGTGCTTGTTTATTAATGTACAGAGTGTATCGAAACTCTCTCCTGAAACTCCATGGGCATGTTCCTCAAGTCAAAACAAACCAAAAATATCGTATAAACATAAGCCCTATCTCGCTTCGTTTTCCGTATGTCAGTGTGTATGCATTTTTTACATAACTTACGATAACTTTGAAACAACTTAAGGTGCGAACTTCAAACTTGGTACATGAATGACTAATAGGAACTATATTTTTGCAAACGATCAAGTTTCCACTTTGTATAAATTCAAAATAGCGGCCATTTTAATTTTTCAAAGCTTAATAGCTTAAAAACCATAGGATTTATAAAAAGGTTACAAATTACAAAAAGGATGGAAATTCAATTTCCTTAACAGAAATGTACAATTTGTATAGCGTCATAACACTTTATGACCATTTCTCTAGAGACAAAATTTCATTTTTATAATGGTAATACCTGCTAATTTATTGGTTTTGCCCATTTTTTTTTAGTTTTAACTTCAGAAATTTTATTATTCTCCCTTATTTTGTGTTATGACCCTATACAAAATATACATTTCTGTAAAGGTAATTAAATTGCCATACTTTTTGTCATTTTAATATTATACAAAGTAAAAACTTGATGTTTTGCAAAAGAATAGTTCCTATTAGTCATCATACACGTACCAAGTTGGAAAATGGAATCAATAGATATAACTACAATAAATAACCAAGGTGTTTTAACTTCAACACCTTCAGCTGAGATTTCGTAGTCTGACGATGGCATTGTATTGCTGAAACAGCCGTAACCAACGTAGTTACACCATTATTTGAGCTGCATTGACGAAGGTAAAGCCTATTTTCAATAAAACCAATAATAGGATTTTATATGGCTATTTAGGTATTTGTTTTAATTTTCTTGCTGTTTATTCAAGCATGATATTTCAGGAACAACATGGACTCAAGAAATGGTATGGTGCATAGCAAATGACCTAGATTTTGAAGGAGCTAAAGTCAAGTTACCTGAAAGGTTCCCATTTCTTGAGTAAGTCAATCAATATATTTATAGTATGAATGAGTATGTGAACAACATACTGTACTTCAATATTAACATTGTTCTTTTTATTGTTTTAAATTTATTTTTTTAATTAAAATGTTACTCAAGAGGGAATATTGTACAAATATTTAAAGTGTTTGATCCATTTGTGATAAACCTCAGAGGTCCAATATTTAAAATGCTTTACACTTTCTTGTAGAAATTAAAGATAAGAACTGATGATTAATTTATCTGTGAGTATGACATACTCTGTACACTTAAGTAATAAAGGTTTGAGGTGCTCTCCGTGCTCTTGATGGTTCTAAACTGAACCCCAGATGTCCTTTATCATTGGGCTTTTGATAAATAATCCTGGCTATAGAAACAGCTGATCGTGTCAGTAACAAAGCTACATCTTTGTCTACATAGATCTTTCACTCCATTCTATACTCACCCTGCATTCATATCCAGCTTTTAATATGTAAACAAATTATGTCGTATCTTAGTGAAGTAATTATGTTTGAGCAGACACACAATCCTGTTCAACTATGAGAAGCTGCTGTTACAATACCCAGACTTTGAGGTGCCGAGGTTTGTGAGGGATGCTACAGGCTACATCTCGGATCTGCCCAGTCCAAGGTTTGTCAAGTCTCATATGCCCTTCAACCTGCTGCCTCTTCAGCTTCAGAGACGCCAAAATAATGCCAAGGTATTATATGTTTGACTAATGGTAAGTAAGTGATTACCCTGCTCCCTGCTCGCCATGCTGAGATTATGGGTGACATAATACACCATGTTCAACTATAACTTAACAAAATAAACCCACAAATTTAATTATTGCATTCATATTGTTTAAACGAACTTAATTATTACGGCCCGATTCCACCAAATTCACACTAACAATGTTTGGTTAATCTTCGGTTAAAACTAACTGATGATTTAAACCACAAGTTAAAAAAACCCTATTTCACCCACCAAAACGCGTCAAAACTAACGCTGGTTTTATAAAAAAGAGTTTAGAGTAAAATCCAGAGGGTAGTGAACTTTCATAATACTGGGTTTTTGGCCTCTCGGGACCACAAAACAAAAACAAAAATCTGTCAGGGGTCTAGGACTTACCACAAGACCTACTTATGTGGGAAATTCACTAAAGCTCATAATTTAAAATGCCAATCAAACTGCTGTAATAATTTTGTATGATTTATGATTGCCGATTCATTAGCATTCAGAGGAGTCATGAGTAGGTAGGGTTCCCAGGGACCCTCCATCAAAAAAGAGGACAAAATTACTCACCAAGGGCGGTACTAGACATATATTTTTGGGGGGGGGGGGTCACCGGGGGCCTTCCCCCGGGAAAAATTTGGAAATAACGTGCTAAAATTAGTAGTTTTTAAGCTATTTTGAGGACCTAGTTTAATGTGTTCAAGCTTCCCAGTTTATTTTTTAAAGGTCAAAAAAATGTTAAAAATAAACTTGTACTCGTATGATGTCATGTTTTGTTTTTTTTATTATTGAGACTTGTGGTTTTAATATCAAAGGAATACCGCAACATTACAACACATTCAAGCATGTTTGATTTACAAAAACACCCTTTTAACTGGTGCCAATGTGCATGCTAAACAGAAATTGTCCAAAATCAGACCATGATTTTGAACCAGAGAACTTATTTTATCTAAGAAGTGTTTAAGAACTAGCACCCAACACGACTGCAGTTAACCTACACAAAGTACACTACCCAATTAACGATGCCGTCGGCGTCCCGTCACTGCTACCGCCTGAATAGTTGGTTCTCAGTGTTTTAATTTTTTTATATGCCAGTGGCATTTTACAAGGGGTCAATGTGAGAATAAAGTTTTTGTGCAACTTTTTTGTGGTTGTGAGTGGTTGTGCCGGGAATTAAATCTGTCCCTTCCGCATCCAAGTCTGAGACACTACCATTTTTGTTGTTGTTTTGTGGCTAGCAACGTACCAATTGGGTAGTGTTATTCTTAAATATGATATCAGGTGCTCTAAATATGAATGATTTAATATTGAAATTTAAAAAAAAATCTCCTAATCCGTCAGGTGCCACGGCTGTTTGAACGGAGTATAGTGAGCAGAGTTATTCAGTTTACAGTCAGCAGAGTCAGGCAAAGCAGGAAACCCATTGTTCGCCTTCCGTTCCGTTTGGTTCTACAGTATTTCCAATGGTTTCTAGCGTACGTTATACACGAAATTTTATCTAAAGAAAGAGGAAATGACACTTTTATACGTAAGATATTATTAAAGTGTAGTATTTTAACCTAGTTTAATGTTATGATGACGATCTATATATATAATACGCTAAGCCGATTTTTGTGAACAGAACTCCTCTCTCATTTTCGGACCGATTTTGATGATTAAAGTGTCAAAAAAATTGCCCTGATCTGTAGTTTTGCAAAGTGTTTTTCGTTTTTTGATATCTTTATTAGTTTGGGCAGGATTTTCCATTAAAGTTGGATTTTTTCCCATAAGATTAACATGGAGGAAACTAGAAATTCAATTGGAAACTTCGTCTCCACTAATTTGAGAGAACGGCTGGGCGTAGAAACTTGGTAGGGGTGTCAAAAGAAAGGTCATGGTCTGTAGATGAGTTATCAAAAGACAAACGAAGTAAATTCCCTTAGGGCTCTGCCCCAAAAGCCTTTAAAGATCCCTCTACAGATTTGTTTATGTTTTGACCATGTGGATAATACTTTTTAATGAAACAGCTGTTGATTTTTCAATTGTGTTTTAAACAACACACATTTATTGGGAGTTACTAAATTGTCTAAAAGAAGTATTTGCAATGCTATTTTCTGATTTTAATAGTTATTTGTGTAACTAGTGGTGAAAGTGGCACTTTGCTGCACACGAGAGCAATGTTTACGCACGAGCCGCAGGCGAGTGCGTAATGATCTCGAGTGCAGCAAAGGCCTTTTTCACTCGTGTTACACATTATATTTTTCCTACAGTCACTATAAGGCATATAAATAATTAGTCTTTCAAACACTATATAACACGTTTTTAGGTTCAGCTGGCAACACAAATGGTGCCCTAGAGAAAGTAGTACCCGCGGTCTGTATCACTCCGCTGTTTTTCCTCGGCAAGAAATGTGCTCCGCGTTTTGAGAATATAGTTCCGTATGTTTTTATAATTTGAAGTGGTTTCCACACCTAAAAAAATGCTTTGAAGGTATTTTCTTGTTTATTAAGATCGTAGGAATGTTTTAAATACGTTTAAAAGAAAAGTCCAGAAAGTTCAGAAATACCGAAACTATAAACACGAAATGAGAGGTTAAATCGTAGTTATAATAGTCAATCAGCTGCTCATAGTATTATTATCTTTAAGTGTTGCCAACCTATTTCCAAGCGTACACGGATTACGTGCATTATAGAACCACGCTGTTTTGTGTTGTTTCGTTGGAATCCTGATGTGCGGCAAAGTATAAACCGTACGACAAAGTATAAACCGTACGGCAAAGTATAAATATGCAGCAATTAGCAGCTTTCTGTACTATAAACAGTACAAGGAAGCCAACTTTGTCGGGTGACTGTAGGAAAAATTTATTTTTTTCTGTATCATGTCATGTTTTGCAATATAACATTCCATTACGAAATCAGTGGAAATTCTTTTTATCACAGAACTCTTACAGTAATTTCTTATTGAACTATCTATTATCTGTTGTACGAGTTGTTGTCTGCCTTTTCCCCCACTTTTGCCTATATTTTATCATATTATTCTACAGATCATCAGAGGTTCACGAGATTATTGTTATACATGTTTTCAATCATTGGAAAAATCTTCGATTGTGTAATACAATACAAAATTATACAAGTGCAGAAGGGCACGTTGCCCATTTGAGCAGTGTCCATATTTTGCTAAATTAATAGTAGTTTACAGCCACTGGATAAAACATTTTATAATATTTATGTAAAAATATGTGCATGATTTAGAAAGTCATTAAGCTGTTAACTGCAATTTACTACAGACTTTTCATAGAGGTTACTTCGATGTTGTTAATTCAGCCTAATGAAAACCTAATATAGATAAGTATACAAATAAGAATTTGAACTCTTAGAGAGCCTTTGAATGTTATTAGAGTAGGTAACGAAATGGGTTGTGCATGTTTAGTAACGCTACTCAGCAACAAAAATCATTTAATTTATCTCTAAAAATATATTCTTAAAGTGCACTGAGCAGCAGCCTCAAAAATACTTTGTAGCGTACCCATATAGTTACAAAATGCTCAAAGTCACATTGTGACATTTATAATTCGGCTTATATTTCTCCAGCAGATTATTTATCTGCAGAAGAAGTTTATTGTGCTCTTATCGTGTGTAATAACATCCAAACACAGAAACCTGACCTAAAATGGTACCTATCTTGACAAATTATTTTAAGTGGTCTATATTACGGACCGTGGCTCACTGGGTTGTTAACATGATTTAAAATAACACGACATTTTGGCTATAAAAAAGGCACAAAGAGTAAATACTATTCAAGCAGCTACTGTCATGACAGAAAGGTCATATTCCTTTTAAACTAGATCACATCATCCTTTATAAGATACGTTGTTTAACAATGCATGTAAACGTCAATATTTACGTAACAGCCAATTTACAGTATTTATTGCTTTTTGGAAATGCCGCATTGTTATGTTATTGGAATTATTTGTTGCCAAAGAAGCCGCACAACCATATAAACGAGGAGGTCCCTAACAGTTCAAGAGTAAAAGCCAACTTCACTTCAAGTATATTCCACTACACCTAACTTTCCGTAGATGAATAATGAGCAAAGAGACAGTGACCGTCGATTTCGACGGGTTTCACCTAGTTTCTTATAAAAGCTGATTGCTAATATTAATACTTGCTGAAAAATCTTTTTATTCTCTCACAAAGTCAAAATCCCGGACATTTGGAAGTATTGCCAAAAATCCCCCTGGACGTTTTTTTTGTACCCAAAAAGAGGACGTGTCCGGGAAAAGGAGGACGTCTGGGATTCCTATGAGTAGGCCAATACAAAACATTTAATGTGTTGTGATCCATTTGCTGAGACAGCCAGACAGTGATAGAATTTTGTCAAATTTGCTAACTATCAATGATGATGACCTTTGAGATGATGCCTGATTTATTAGCATAGATTAATCAAAGAATTTGTGTGTGCATGGTAAAGCAAAGATGTTGATGGTCAGGTGCCCAATAAGGTGCAAATGATTTTATGATTGTTCAGTTGTCAACTACAGTACTCATGTGGATACTTGTTCTTCTAGATAATATACATCGCTCGCAATGTGAAAGACACTTGTCTATCATACTACCACCACTGTCGTCTGTTGGAAGGGTACAAGGGGAGTTTTGATGAGTTCGCTACACTCTTCATCAACGACTCCTGTGAGTTTTAACTCTGGTTGTGCTAATACCATACTACAATCACAATGAACCATAAGTTCATCATTTAACAGTGTTATACTGTAGAATGAGATTATTCTCCTAGTTATACGTCATAATATCTCACAACACTATAAAGATGAAAAATTAAGTAGGCTAAATACTTTATTGAGATAGTTTTCTAAAATGAAAATTACATATGGATAACCATAGAAAATTAGTTTTCCTACCCAGTTCGCAGAGAAACCCTTCCTAAAAGTATGCCTTGGTGTACATAACAGTTCCCATTTTTATAGATAAAAGAAAATTTATATTTTTGCAATTTAGATAACAGGAACTATAATTATTTTTATTATAATATGCAATACTATAACTATTTGTATTCTTAACCATATTTTTATTTGTTATTACATAAAAAAAAATGATTTTCAATCTGTTTACTTAATAACACAGTTTCTAACAATAGTCTTGTTTTACAATGTTTTAGTATGCTTTGCTCCGTTTTGGAAAAATGTGCTGAGCTACTGGGAAAGAAGAAATGATCCAAATGTATTGTTTTTAAAATTTGAAGAACTCAAAAAGGTACCTAATGCTTATTGTAGACAATATCTTAAATGTTAACCTTTTTCTTAACACTTTTGTTAACAAGGTTTAGATCCTTAATAAGTAGTGTAAACTACAACGAATACTTTTAAATAAGATGTAAAAGTTTCTTATAGTCAGATAATTAATTTTCACAGATAATTAATATAAAAAAGTATTAAAACATGCAATATTTTTAGTACTGTTGTGTATGGGAAATTGGCTAAAAGTTAAGCCTGTTACAGTATTACCTATACTAACTATTAGGAAAGTGACAATAACAATCAATCAATCAATCAAATCAAACAATCAATCAACAATCATTTGCAAAATAAATCATCACTAAGATAGTTTTTGGTTTGATTATTATTAAACGTATTAAGACACGTTATTAAAGAGACGTTAAAGACATTACTATATTTGGCGTCATCAAAATTTTGTCATGGGTCGATTGATTGATTGATTGATTCTGTAGGGGCGGACCTTGTCCTGTTGCACGTCAGCCACTGATGGGCTTTTTGCGCTCCCCACATGGTACTTCAGAGTCTGTCAGACCTGAGTTGCTTAATGAACTCAAGCATCCTGTCAATGAGCTCCTCCTGAGGAAGGTGTCTGCCCCTTGTCATTGCACCAAGAGTACTGTCCCTTACCTCATTCAGAGCTGTGCAGTCGTAGAGTAGGTGATCAGCAGTCTCCTCTGATTGCCCACATTTCCTACACGCAGTGTCACCATTGTGGATCCTCAAGCGATGCAGGTGTAATTTCAGAAAGCCATGCCCAGTGACCATTCATGTGATCTGTCTGAGTCGCCTCCTGTCCAAGTGTAGGGCATTGGAGGCGACCGTCTGGGAAGGGGAGAAGAGGGTGAGCTTACTTACCCTATGGTGCTGAAGCCTAACCCATCTTTTCCTGTGTTCCTCCTGAGGCCATGCCATGACTGAGTGACATGCATGCCCACGAGAGATTCCACAGAAAGGCTGTGGTCCCACGAAGTCTGAGGCTGACGCGACATTTGCTAGCCTGTCAGCCACCTCATTCCCTTCTATCCCTGAGTGCCCAGGGACCCAACAGAGCGTTACCTTGTTGCGCCTGCCCAGGTCACATACCGCAGAAAGGCAGTCCCAGACCACCTTAGAATTGAATTCATTGGAGTCAAGCGCTCATGGGTTTTTTTCAACTTTGAAAACAGGCTCCCCAAAATATTTAAAATCCGATTTAAAATTTGTGTCTCAGGGTATTTCACGAATGTCTTGTTCTTCTTCTATCACATTGCGTATACTTCATCATGTGACCACGGCTTATGACAGGGTTTTTGATTGTCGTCTGTGGAACGCCCGGTGTCCTAGAGCTACTGTTTCTTTGGGCGTTTTCAGATGTGTGTATGCAAGAGTGTGTGAATGTGTGTTTTTTTTTTAATTTGCATGTTTTTTCTTATTTTTTTTCTGAGAGAGAAATGTACTTGTTAAATATATTTATGTTTGATTAGATTGAGTAATCCCGCTCTATTATTATTTCTAAATATTTATGAATGTCAGGTTAAGTGTACGTTTGCCTGAAAAAAAGAATTTTTAATTTCATTTTCATTTTTTTAAGAGGCTTACATTTTTAACCAATGATTTCTGCAACAAGCCAACCAAAACATGACAAAAGTTACTTACAAAATCCTGTGTCTACAATTTTTATTTTTATTTTTCCAGGACCTCCCATCAGTGGTACAAAGAACATCGGAATTTCTTGGGAAAAATCTGACGGATAAGCAAGTAGATGAGCTTTGTGAACATCTCAGTTTCAAGAACATGAAGAATAATCGGGCAGTTAACTACGAAGAAGTGATTGAGATCAACAAGAAGTACAAACTGGTAGAAGCAGAGGGCAGCTTCATGAGGAGCGGACAGGTCAGTGGGATTTTTTTTATTTTTTAAAAATACAGTAGGTATTTATTTAGAAAAAAAAACATATAAAGTGGAATACAATAGTTCAGTATAACCTATCCAGTAACGTATTGAGGTAACTGTGAAATGAACCTTTAAGATACATATTTTTCAGTATCTATAGTAAAATATTTTTCTGAATAATCTATAGTCTAAAGTAATAGAAAGAAATAAGTGGAATGTGATCTAAATTAAACCTGGTTTTTAAGTTTTAATCTTGATGCAGGTAGTGGGGGGTTCGGAGGCCTCACCCGGAAAATAGTAAAAATTTAGGTACTAAATGTTTGATTTTACGCATCTCTTACCTAAACCCCCTGGTTATAATGTAGGCTACGTTAATTATAGACTTTGTTTTTATGCACAATCTGAAAAATGCTGTTATGTGGAATCAAAATTAGGACCGCATTTCTCATTAGGTTGGCTCACTACTTTAGAAATGTGCTTAACATTCTAACTAGCTGAATTGCCCTGATTCAAATAATATTTTGCATATTATTCTTGCAATAACACTTTAATTTATACAATTGCATGGTACTTATGTAGCATGTTAAATACAATTTTGACGAGTCTTTTTTCTAAATAAATTTGCTATTTTACAAGATTGTTGCAAATCACAATTAATCTCAAATATAAACCAAACAAATTAATTGTATAGATCTGGAAACATACTGACTGCAATATATTTTTAATACCTTATCCTAAAATAGCTTCAACCAAAAAGAATTTAATTCCAGGTAGGAGAGTGGAAGATATTGATGAGCCCTGAATGGATCAAACGCTTTGATGATTGGACAGAAGAAAACCTCAGGGGAACTGGACTAACATTATAATCTCAAAGATGGCATATTTTGAAGATGAGAGCTTATGTTACCAGCACCATGACAGATGTAGTTTGTAGATGCACTGGCACTGCTTTAGGCACCATAGTGTTGTGTAAAACCAACACTTGTCCAACCGCAATTTCACTACATTAAAGCTATATCAAAGTTTTTTATTTTAGAACTGTTATAGAGAAAGCTATTGAATTTAATCTAAATCGGATGAAGTTTTCACCTAGAACGAGGAAAGAAATGTGTACCAGAAAGGTCCAATTAGATAATATCCAATTAGGGAACACAAATAGTTTTATGTTTTGTAATTACAATTCAGTTTTACTTAATTGATAAAAGATTTATCACCAATTATAATGTTTACAATATCGTGTGAAGCTAAGTACATTTTGAGTAATTATGATGAGCAAATATTGAATATTACTGTTGAAATACAAATGTGATGTGGAAAGCGAAAAGGAACCTCTTGTCGGCGATGCAAAATTTTCAGTACGGCCGATTTAAATAATTAAGGTCGAAAATATCAAAATTCGGGTTGTTATTGATTGTTATACCTCATTTATCATAGAACAGGACAGTATCAGTTAAAATATCGAATTGAAGACTTAAAAGGTTGAAATAAAACATTTTGTTAGCCTCTGCACGGTCTGAGAAAAAGTACCTCTTGTCGCTCAATGTTATTAATGTTATTTCGCTCAGTGTTATTTATTACTTGTGCTCAAAGAGGTCCCATTTCTAATATTCACTTTATAAACATATTTTAGTCTAAAAAAATAAATTGTCCTGCAATCTAGAGGAAATTTAGTGAACTACAACAAAGTTCAGTGTGCGGAGAACAAAATATCCCACAAATTTTGCGGTCCCGACAAGAGGTACCTTTTCTGAAATGCGATTTTTACGACATGCTTCTATATTAAACAATTATTTAAATGAAAAATATCAAGAGTTAAGACAAAAATTGGTTTTGCCTCCAAGAGGACATTATAAGCTTTCTTTCGATACCAAAATCTCTTCTTGAATACGAAAAAAACTGTTTTAATGCGTACTTGAAATTTTCAAAAGTGTTTTTCTCAAAATGACCCTTTTCTATAACAAAATTTCAAAGTCCTATAGCTTAAACACGAAAAATCACAGATGCATGGGACTTGCACCAAGTGATTCAGAATTTAATAAGGAATTCAAATACGTATATAATTTAAAATCGAAAATTCCCAACAAGAGGTCCCTATTCGCTGTCCACAACACAAATATTGAATATATTAACTAAGTAGTTTAGAAATCTTTATTAAGGTTGTCATTTAGTCTGTTGAAAAAATAATTGGAAAGCAAATATTTTCAGTTACAAATACGCTTGACTTACAGGTAAAAGAAAATAATATTTTACCATTTTGAATAAAAACGTTTATTTACAACAAAAATGTAATGTGTTTTAGTAGCCTATTTACATACAACATTACCACATGTACCATAACACATGTACCATGCAGCAGTCAGGTGGTTAGGTAGAGTCGAAGGTAAGACCTGACCCCTCTAGCCGCTGTGTTGACCACTCATCAAACCTACGAGACATCTCATCACTCATGTGGTTCCTCCAATCTCCCACCTCACCTTTGCGGATAAACTTGATCTCCTCTTTGACCTAGACATCATAGTGGTGGATTTTAAAGTTTTGGTTGGTAAAGGATAGTATGTACAGTTGTCTAAGGAATTTTGCGGACATTTTCCACATTGATTAGTAAAACACAAATTCCTCTATGTTATCATGGTACATAAGAGTATAATATACAGTACATAATGCTGTTTCATTAATCTTTGTTTGATTTAACTTATTTATATAAGTGTGCCCAATTATAGTATAGTGTTCTTAATACTACGCTGAGCCGGGACTAAAATGCACTCTGATATTTGATATTATTTTTTTCTTAACAGACAGTTTTTTTTTTCAAACGTCTCTTATTACAATACAAAAATTAAGAAAATTTCAGGGATCATGAACATTTTGAGGTGATATAACTTTAAAGGTATAATCATAGATAAAACATACTCCCTTAGGATATAATCTCACAGAATTTTGTCCACTTTATATAATGCATTTTACACTTTCTTCGTGACTATGAAAATAAAATACTCTAGTTTTTAAATAATCTTTCAATAGATGTGAGAAATTATTACTGAGGAGATGGCACAAAACCAATAGCTTTAAAGAGAATATTTTCAGAGAACTAACCTCATGTCCAGGTCCATGCATTTGCTCCATGATTGGTTGAAGGTTCACTGATGGGTTCTCTCTCATTTTCTTAAAACTTGCATGGTCAATCAAGCTAGTAACCTGTTCTTCAGTCAGTTCTTTTCCGAGGAATTCGGCAATCTTAGCCACTGCTGCACGATGGTCCTACACCCCATCAAAACAGAGTCATTGTATTTAGTTTGCTCCAATTCTCCACATAACTTACATATGGACAAAAAATAATTAATCTATCTTTTGTTTTTGTGGAATTAGTTTATATAATTTATTTTCTACATAAGAAATGTGATTTTTTAATAAGACCTTCTTTTCATTGAGCATTATAAATGTTCATTTTTAGTCAACGGTATACATACGACAAAGATAATAAGATATAAACATCACTAGAGCAAATTACATATACAGATAGATATCCAAATAACATAGTATGTTCAAAACTTCAGCAAAAGTATTTTATTTGACTATACTTGCATGTAACCATTACTCATAGCTTGCAAGTAATAAATTACGATAGATAGAAGCTCCGATAGAATGAGAAGTATGACAACTTGGTTTGAGCTTGCCCTTATCATTTAAACTATCATTTTACTGTATAGTCCCTTGAAAACAGATGAATGGTTATGTTGTGTATATATATATACAGGGTGACAAAAAAGTCTGGAAACGGCTTGATATCTTTTTAACTAAATTTGTTAGAAAATTAAAACTTTTCACATCATCTTATATGTATGAAAACTACTTTTTGCAAGCATTACCATTTTTTGACCTTCACCAGAGGACGGCCCATGAGGAGTAGGTACATAATCTTTAATGTAAGCATAGATTGATATGCACGTAATTTTAAAGATCTGGTTAAGTGGAGTTCATTTCCGGAAACCGCGTCAAAAAAGGTTCATCCGTTACAAAATGGCGGCAGTCCAATGTTCTTGCGGAATATACCTGCAGAGGCCTTAGAATTGGTAAATACTCATATTCAACATTAGCCGGGAAATCTGAAACCCGTTTAAATTTGTTTTGAAGATTGAATAATATTAGTCTATGAACTAGTTGACTTTAAAATACAGTTTCAGCTCTCAAGCTAATGTTTAATACGAGTATTTACCAATAGTAAGGCCTGTGCAGGTATATTCAACAAGAACTTTGGACAGCCGCCATTTTGTAACGGATCAACCTTTTTTGACGCGGTTTCCGGCAATGAACTCCACTTGACCAGACCTTTAAAATGATGTGCATATCAACCTATGCTTACATTAAAGATTATGTACCTACTCCTCATGGGTCGTCCCCTGGTAGAGATAAAAAAATGATAATTCTTGGAAAAAGTAGTTTTTATACATGTAAGTTGATGTGGAAGGTTTAAATTTTCTAACGAATTTAATTAAAAAGATATTATAGTCCAGTCAAAGAATGAGGTGTAGAGTGCGTGAGCAGGTAACTAAGCGATTCCTTCAGAAACTTGTTCAGGGCGCTTAGGGTGTTAACATACCAAAAGTCCTGACTCCTAGGTGGTGAGCCAGGGGGTGGAGGGGGGAAAAGGGGGGGGAGAAAGGTACGCATTTTGGGTTTTTTGATTATATCTTGAAAACTATCAACTTTTTGTATACTATAGTAAATTATAAAATTGAAGAAGATTAAATTTTCTACAAGAAAAGTATATAATGTGTTTATTTTGGTTCAACAGATTACGAGTTATAACTTATTTAATTGATATCTTATTAAAATCTTCTTCCATAAGAAATACATGTAAATTAGTATGCAAAATGGGGCAAATCCTATCCGCCCAAAGGAAATATAAATGATATTCTGGAAATCTTGACAAAATTTCCAGTAATTTGACACTTTAATCATTAAAATTGATCCAAAATTAAGGCGAGGGCGAGGTAACAAAATTTTGAGTTTTGGTGTTTTTTTATTGTAAATATAAAAAAAACCTTAAATCATCCCATTTTTAAACGCTCACCCTCGCTTTAATTTTTGACAAAATTTCATGATTAAAGTGTCAAATTACTGGAAATTTTGTCAATATTTCCAGAATATCAGTTATATTTCCTTTGGGCGGATAGGATTCGCCCCATTTCGCATACTAATTTACATGTATTTCTTATGGAAGGAGTATTTTAATAAGATATCAATTAAATAAGTTATAACTCGTAATCTGTTGAACCAAAATAAACACATTATATACTTTTCTTGTAGAAAATTTAATCTTCTTCAATTTTATAATTTATTATAGTATACAAAAAGTTGATAGTTTTCGAGATATAATCAAAAAACCCAAAATGCATACCTTTTTCCCCCCCTTTTTCCCCCCTCCACCCCCTGGCTCACCACCTAGGAGTCAGGACTTTTGGTATGTTAACACCCTAAGCCCCCTGAACAAGTTTCTGAAGGAATCGCTTAGTTACCTGCTCACGCACTCTACACCTACTTTTGGATCATTCATTGACTGGACTATTAAACCGTTTCCAGACTTTTTTTGTCACCCTGTATATAAACAATTAGACAAATTATAAGTTGTGAAAAATACTAGTGATATGATTTTTTTTAATAGGATGATGTAATGATAACAATAACTTCATGTACTGTACTTTGACATAGAAAACGCATTAAATATAATTTATTTTTAAGTCTACTGTATCATTAATTTATTTCAAATAATAAACCAAATTTTGTAATGATGACATCACCACACTCTATCTTAGTGCCCTATTTGTAATCAATAAAACATTCATAGATATAGTATATTTTATACTACATATATTTAATCTAGCAGCTTTTGAAAATTGTCCACTTACTTTTTTCATGTCTTCATATTTCAAAAACAGAACATTGGGTTCGTTTCTTAGTTTCCAAAACTCTAGCACATGGTCCAAATATGGTCCAACTGGAGCTATAAAACATACAGAGTTTACAGGAAACTACATTAATAATTAACTATAACTAACTTAAAAATTAATATAGATCCATAATACTTTATTAATTATTTTCTGTATTAAAATTATATAAATATTCAAATTTAGTATATGTTATAGACCTTTTAAATCTAAACAAGATGGTATAGCCACAATCGCTGTAAAAATTATGGTTCAAAAGTTATTGTAGCTCAGGCAATTATCCCAAGAAAAAAACCATGAAATAAACAAATCTGGGTTTTGAAAAAAACGTGACCGATTTTGATTCATGTTTAGTATTTTACGGCTCTTATAATTCTTAACAGAATGGTATAACCCCCTTTATAGTAAAAATTATGGTTCAAGAGTGTTGGAAACTTTTGTAATTTTACCACAAAAATACCATACTTTCTCCCACCCCTTTCCCGAGGCTGTGATAAGGGTTGTTGGCAAGCTAATGTGAGAAAGTATGTGTCAGATTGCTGACAGTATATTAACACAATCTTGTTGTGGATAAAAGAAAACCTATGAATTATCTTAGAGTTTAACTACAACATTAGCACATCAACATATATAATGGTACATGATTATCTAAGGGATGATTGTAAGATGACTGAAGCAATAGCTTTGTTGATACATGAGTAATTTACCTTTTCCTTGCAAGAAGAGTTCACAAAAGTCTTCAAAGCTACAATCTTGCAGGTTGTGCAGTAGCAGGCAATAGTGGTAATAAGAAACACACACATCCTTAGGGTTACGAGCAACATAAACGATCTGCAACAACAGAAGAGAAAAAACATTTTAATAACCCGCAATCATTACACTCCAAACAATCCTAATTGTCTTATAGTTTTTTCCTGAGTTCGTTTGGCTCTTCTACCCGACCGATTTTCATGTTTGAGGTCTCGAATTGAAGGAATGCAGGCACAGATTTCACATCAAGCATTGGCATATCTACTGTCTCACTTGCCTTATACGTAAACAAAATTTGCTCCCCATGTATTTTTTATAGAAGTTAAATTCAGCTTTTCTTTTCCGAGTTCGTTTGGCTCTTCTACCACACTGATTTTCATGATTGAGGTCTCAAGTTGAAGGTATGTACGCACAGATTAAACATCAAGCAGTGGCATATATTTATCTACTGTATTATTGGAGCAAAAAACATAAATTTGATTTATCTTTGAATTCTTACTTCATTTAAGGTGTACCTATTTCACCAGTTATAATTATATAGTCCTATACATTTTTGTCTAAGAACCTTCAGTGAAATACCGGCATTCGTTTAAGCTATTAGTTATTCAAATCGGACGTGTTTCAAGGAAACAAAATTTCTAATAAATATTCCACATTTAGTGGTACAGGGCTAAAGAGGATCTGCTATTCACTGTAGCTAGTCAATTTATACGGTGTTTACTTTAATTAAATTCACTTAAATAAAAGTGATCATAGGGTTACAAAATCAATTTCAAATATTTACCGATTGGATGTATATATTCTTCAATAACTGTAATTACAATACTTTAAATAGGTACCTTTTGTACCTGTCTAAAGAGACTAAGAACAAAAAACATGATTTAAATGAAGTAACAGTGTAATTACCTTTGGTTTGACCTGCCTCAATTCCTGAGGCAGAAGTTGAAGTGGCAAATGTGTTCTGATACAGCGAGGTGAAGGAATACTCTCCACCAGTCTGACAGAGTCAGGGATCACACTGGTTACTTCCCCATTGTCATGGCCAAACAGCGCACTCAGCCTGGCAAACATATAGAGTGAGTAAGTAGATGGAACATTGGCCGAGTGATGAATTGTAGTATGGTACCTCTGATACAGCGAGGTGATGGGATACCCTCCACCAGTCTGACAGAGTCAGGGATCACACTGGTTACTTCCCCATTGTCATGGCCAAACAGCGCACTCAGCCTGGTAAACATATAGAGTAAGTAGATGGAACATTGGCCGAGTGATGAATTGTAGTATGGTACCTCTGATACAGCGAGGTGAAGGAATACTCTCCTCCAGTCCGACAGAGTCAGGGATCACACTGGTTACTTCGCCATTGTCATGGCCAAACAGCGCACTCAGCCTGGCAAACATATAGAGTAAGTAGATGGAACATTGGCCAAGTGATGAACTGTAGTATGGTATTTCTGATACAGCGAGGTGAAGGAATACTCTTCACCAGTCTGACAGAGTCAGGGATCACACTGGTTACTTTGCCATTGTCATGGCCAAACAGCACACTCAGCCTGGCAAACATATAAGGTAAGTAGATGGAACATTGGCCAAGTGATGAACTGTAGTATGGTACCTCTGATACAGCGAGGTGAAGGAATACTCTCCACCAGTCTGACAGAGTCAGGGATCACACTGGTTACTTCCCCATTGTCATGGCCAAACAGCGCACTCAGCCTGGCAAACATATAGAGTGAGTAAGTAGATGGAACATTGGCCGAGTGATGAATTGTAGTATGGTACCTCTGATACCATACTGTTAAAATCCATAGGAATCCAAAAGGAAAATCCAAAAGGATCCACAAAGTTAAAAGGATAAAGATATCGTCGTCTGCTACTAAATTTAGAAAGTCTTGTTCTAAAGTGTTCTATTTTATCTATGAAATACTGTGTTATTCAACTTTTAAAAGTAGCTATAAGTAAGTAATATTGATAGAAGAACAGTTTTTTAACAACATTTTCATATAACCATTCAAAGAAGGCAGTAAATTACCTTAAAAACATCTTAAATAGTTCTACTTACAAATTGGATGCACATTTTCACATGTTTTTCAGTGATGTTTAAAACCACTTCAGACCACTTTTATTCCTAAATTAAGAGCACTGACAATATGCAAAGTATTTTATATCACTGGGAATTGTATTCTGAATTTAAAACAGTTTGATTATTATATAAACAAACTAACAAAGATCACAAAAACAAATATAATTGGCACTATTTTTTAAATTGGGTTCTGAATTCCTGTGTATTGATCTGCTTAGAACATGATCTGGACAGGTTAGGAACTAGACAGGTTCAAAGACACTAGACATGTTAGGCACTGGTGTCTAAACAATACAGACTGACGACAGCTGTTGAACCCTGCCCTCACTGACCACAGACAAACTGCTCTTTATCAATCAAGGACTGCTCATAGTACCTAATCAGCTGTATGTTTATTTTGAATTTGAACCATTTTTTATGAACTACATCACTGGATAGTAAATAAATTTTCTGCAAATGTGAATAATGTTTTCAATTAATGATGTGGTTTTTGCTAAGATAAAAGGTCATAAGCCATGGCCTGCTTTAATAACTACAATTGAAAAAGACAAATATAAGTTAAAATTTTTTGGAACTGGTCAAACTGGCACCTGCAAACAAATGGATATATTTGATTTCTCTATGTATGTAGAAAATATTTTACCGTCCAAGAAATTATCAAACCCGCTAAAACTAGCAATTGATGAAGCTAATTCTTTTTGCAACAATACAGCAGATGAGTTTATTTATGATCCTGATAAACAAAATGAACCCGAGGATGGAACTAGTGTTTTAGAACTGAGCGAAATCAACAATCAACTTATGTTTGAAAAAAGGAAAATGGAAACGTCTCTGAGGTTAGCTGAAGAAGAGTCTGATGAGTTATGCTCTAAATTTAGAACTGAAATAGAAAATCTCAAGGTAGATATCTCTCATCTAAAAGGGCAGTTAAAAAATAAGGAATGCCTGATTAACAAACTAAATGAGGAACTAACACAAATGCATACAAACAAAGAAAGTAAATCTACTATGACTGCTGGGACCCAAACTGAACAAAACGCATCGAGTAATTCCACGATCAGTACAGTATTATCAAGTTCTAATTTGCTGTCTAATGTAACGTTTCAACCAAAACTACGTTCAAATGATAATTGGTTATCAGATGACACAATTTCTTCCTACTTTGCAATGCTTCAGTCAGAATCTCAAAAACTGAGAAATGACATATTGTTTATTGGGCCTGCAGTGTCGCAGCTATTGAAGCTCCAAACTAAAACAGACGTTGAGAAAACCTTAAACAACTTGTCTTTTAGTGATATGAAATTTGTTTTCTTCTGTATTAATAACAGCAACACAGTGAACTGGGAGGAAAATACTGTAAAAGGAGGAACGCACTGGAGTTTGGTTCTTTTCGACAGCCAAGCTAATTCGGCTTTACATTATGACTCAGCTCGGGGCATTAATAAGCGGCACGCGGAGACACTTCTACAGCAGATTGGGCTTAATGGCGTGGTTCTAGGCGATGCTGTGGTTGCACAGCAAGTAAGCAACTTTGAGTGCGGCTTACACGTCATTGTCACTGCGCGACTGCTACTCTGTCAGCTGTGTGACAGCATTGTAAGCCCCCAACTTCCTAGCAGCAAAGGCAATGGCAATAATAAACAGTGGATTCATAACACCAGAGCCCATTGTAATGAAGGAAACAAAAAGAAAAAGAAGGATAAGACACAAAAGACAAAACATGCACCTGTACAGGAACAACCTTCACCAACAATTGCATTACGAAACAGCTTTGAAGTATTATCATCTTCTGAGACCAATGATACAGTAGACATAGTTTTGCAATATAGTCCACAATCATGTATTAAAACTATAGCAAACCATAAGTCAAAGAAGCAACCCCTGATAACAAACATACAACATAGTGACAGTCATCTAGTTAGTAATGCTGGAGAGGGAAAGCGCAACATCCTAATCTTGGCAGATAGTCATGGAAGGGATATTTACTCGTACTTAACGAAGATTTGGCCTAACAGAGTAGATAATATATGCAGCATATACAAGCCTAACGCCAAGCTCAATGGGGTTACAGAGAACCTTGTAGCACTTACAAAGTCATTCGGATCGGAGGACTACGTTATTATTATAGCTGGAACTAATGATGATCTCAGTGAAGACAACTCTGCTGGACCTCTACTTGATGCTTTTAAGAAGATCATTGATATGACAGCGCACACTAATTTGATTGTAGCAGAATTACCATACAAGTATCATGCAGCCCAACTAAATAATAGAGTTACTTGCTTGAATATGGAGATAGAGCAGTTGGTAAATAATGCTAAGCATGCAGTTCTGTTACCACTAGGTGACCTCTCCCGTACGCTGTACACAAAATACGGCCTTCACTTCAACAGATTGGGCAAAAATAAAATTGCTTGCATGTTGCGAGATATTTTTTATCCACAACCCCAAGACCCATCTTACAATGAGTTAACATTTGAAGAAAACATGGTTGATGTTAGGGACGAAAATATGAGACAAACTTTTGAAAAGTATAAAGCTGACTCCACAGTTGCGTTTGCTCATACTATTTCTGCCGACATAAACTGTAATAGAAACATGAGCGCCGGAGTGGCAGTTACATTTAGACAAACATTCGGAAGGCCAAAAAAAGAAGATTTCATTGATACTAAATTAACTTGTCAGGTGATAAATGAGGGTGCCAGTATTTTTAGTTTGGTGACAAAGCCTGAATATTTTCAAAAGCCAAAATATGATGATTACAAGGAATCTTTTTCACAGCTCACAAAACATTTTAAAATCCGAAAACTAAAAACCTTGATTTGTTCGCCGATGGGCTGCGTGCGAGATCATATTAAGCTTCACCAGTTTGTCTCAAATGCCCTATATTTTCATGTACAGACCGGAGCTAGGATCATCATCATCTCCCATGACCAGGACTCTGATCGAGTATTGAGAAATGGACTGTCTCATTCAGCTTTTCTGTCAAGACTTAGAAAGGAAATACAGAGGCATACAAAGTTGTCAGCTACTGAGCAGGATGCTGCTATGTCTGAAGCTGTGGCGACTCCAGGTCCATCACCCCACCATGACCATCCAACATCTCAGAGGCCAGACGATGATGTGCCTACCCTGGCCAGCCTCAACACCTTCCCTCCACTCACCCCATCACACTACCAGTTACAGCATAGTGAAAATATCAAGTGCAAAAGTGGTAGTGAAAAGCAGAGTACAAGTGATACCCAGGGTAATATTGATCTGCCAAAGACTCCCATTTCTGGCAGCAATGAGAATGATTTTTTATAGATAGGAAATTATTATTGTCAAAAAAGATACATTCAATTGATAATGAAGTACACATAAATAATAGTCAAAATAACATGGATGATGTTCATTTAACTAACAAAAAACGACTGGAAAGTCAAACTTTTATGAATTTGGATTTTGAAAACCCACTAGACATCTCTGAAAATGTATCTTTTTTGCCAAATGGTTGTTTGAGGTGTAAAGATACTACTGTGAATAATGTGAAAATGTTCAAAAATAACACCTCCTCTCCTATTGTAACAAACAAACATTCCTCTAACGTATTAATTCTCCATCAAAATATCCAGCATTTTTCATCTCGTACTTTATCCCTTGAAATTATTTTAGACGAACTAAAGCCCCATTTTGTTATTCTTAGTGAACACAAGCTCAATAATGATGAAATTAGTTTTGCACACATTTCTAACTATAATATTGTAAGCTATTACTGTAGGAAAACCTACTTAGGTGGAGGTGTTATGATTCTTTCTCGTGACTGTAACCATATTAAAGTTAAAAAAATTATAATTCCTGCAGTTGAAAATTTGGTTAAGGATAAGTATTTTGAATGTTGTATGATTGAGGCGAGAGTTAATGATTTCATATTTTTATTGGTTGGTTTGTATAGAACTCCAGGATCTGTATACGAAAATATTTTTCTTGAAAAATTAGATAGTTTGTTAGGCCTTATTTTTGAAAAATATGAAAGAGTAATTGTGGCTGGAGACATTAATATTAACGTTCTTAAGTTTTCCAAGGGCTATCAGATATTCAATAATATTTTAAATGAATATAATATGCATTATTTGGTAGACTTTCCTACTAGAATAACATTAGAGGGTGAAAGTGGTATTGATAATATATTTACTACAATTCCTAAAAACAATCTTTTAGTATCAGGCCTAATCACTGAGCTCTCTGATCATGACGCTCAACTCTTAGAAATTCGGGACATCTCTTCTAAACAAAAGTTTAACAAACCTACTATTAAATCTAGTAGAAAATTCCTTCCTGAAAATTTAACCAAATTCAAAAATTATCTTGCACAGGAAACGTGGACTGATTTATATTTAGCGACTGTAGAGGAAAAATATGATGTATTTTTTAATATCCTTATGTTTTATTTTGATAGTTGCTTTCCTAAGTTAAAGTCTCGTGCCTGTTCAAAATCAAAAAATTGGATTACTCCGGAACTTAAGTTAGCTAAAGATGAAATAATACTATTAAGCCGAGAAATTAGGGTAAATAAGGATAAGTTTTTAATAAAAAAGCTAAAAGACCTGAAAAGAAGCTACGCAGCCCAATTAAATAGTACTAAACGACATTATATCGAAAGCAATATAAGAAATGCCAGTAATGTCTCAAAAACTACTTGGAATATTATTAATAGGGAACTAAACAGAAACCGAGTTCGTGAAAATGAAATCCAATTAAAAATTGGTAACTTTGAATACACTGAACCTGATGATATATGTGAAATATTTAATGATCATTTTGTAAGTTTGGTAGATAGGATTGGGGACTTGTCTTCGGGAGCTCTTGGTGCAATCTCAAATCCTGTAAATTCAGTAAAATTTTATTTAAAGCCTGTTGATGAAGCTGAAGTAGACAAGATTCTTTCTTCTTTTGAAAACAAGTTTACCTGTGGTTTTGATGAAATTCCTATGCCTGTTTTAAAAAGTGCTAAAGATGTTTTAGCTAAACCATTGGCTCATTTAATCAACTCTTCTTTCATTTCAGGAATATTTCCAAGTAAATTAAAAATCTCTAAAATTAAAACATTTCATAAATCTGGTAGCAATAAGGACCCTTCTAATTACAGACCATTATCTATTTTGCCATGCTTATCAAAAATCTATGAGCGTGCCATGCATTCACGATTAATGAATTTCTTAGAAAATAATAGCTTATTTGATACTGAGCAACATGGATTCAGGCCCGGTAAATCTGTTGTCACTGCAACAATTGATTTGATAGAAACTATAATTGATGCTATTGATAAGGGTGAGAGCACTGTCGGGGTGTTTATGGATATTAGTAAAGCCTTTGATAGTGTCTGCCATTCAACATTAATTTCAATTTTAAAAAATTTTGGTTTTGCTAACAATGCTTTAAATTGGTTTCAATCTTACCTTGAAAACAGATTACAATATGTGGAAATTAATCATATAAATAACTTCAACCAATTAAGAAATGTAAAATCCTCTTTGAGGTGTATCAAATATGGTGTACCTCAAGGTTCGATTCTTGGTCCCATTTTATTTCTTTGTTATATTAAAGGTCTGCCAACAGCATTAACAGATAATATGGCAAAATTGTGTCTATATGCTGATGATGCAAATTTGTTGGTTTCTGGTAAATGTTTTAATAAAATACAAGAGTCGGCCCAAAACAATCTGTTATCTATAAAAAACTACTTAAACTTCAATAAATTATTTCTCAATTTTAATAAAACCAATTTTATGTCATTCAGTACAGCACAAAAGAAAAATCCAGAATTCTGTATTAAAGTAAATGATCTCCAAATTACTCAGGTAAAGGTAACAAGATTTTTGGGTTTATTGCTTGATGAAAATTTATCATGGTCACTCCATACGGATAAATTGTTACATAAAATTTCCTCGGGTTTATTTGCCTTAAGAAATCTGTCAAAATTTTGTTCCCTTGAGATATTGCTTAAGGTTTACCATGCACATATCAACTCACACATTACATTTGGTATTGAGTTATATGGAGCTACAAGTAATCAAAATTTACAAAGTATTCTAATCCTTCAAAAAAGGGCAATAAGAATCATGTTAAATCTGGATGATGAAGAATCGGCCAAAAAATATTTTCCTAAATTAAAAATTCTAACCGTTTACAGCTCATATATATTGCACACTATTATGCATGTGAGGGCTTCTGAAGACAAGGTGCCACTGCTGGGGGATAATCATAGATATAATACTAGGCATAAAAATTATCCATCCGTAACACAACACAAACTGGAGTTTTATAACAAGAAACCAACAGCTGCAGGTATTAGGTTTTTGTACCATCTACCAAAAGAAATATTTGATATAAAAAACATTAGGTCTTTTAAAAAAAAACTTAAATTGTTACTAATTGATAGAGCATTTTACTCATTTGAAGAGTTTTACAACATGTAATTACATTAATTAAATTTTCCTGTTTTATTTAGTTTAACAAAGTATTTTAATTAGTAATAAGCTGTTTTGACACCATTCTGTATTTATGCATATATTTCATGTAGGTATATAATGTATAAATCTTGAATAAAGCTTTTCTGATTCTGATTCTGATTCTGATACAGCGAGGTGAAGGAATACTCTTCACCAGTCTGACAGAGTCAGGGATCACACTGGTTACTTCCCCATTGTCATGGCCAAACAGAGCACTCAGCCTCTGGCAAACATATAGAGTGAGTAAGTAGATGGAACATTGGCCGAGTGATGAATTGTAGTATGGTACCTCTGATACAGCGAGGTGAAGGAATACTCTCCTCCAGTCCGACAGAGTCAGGGATCACACTGGTTACTTCGCCATTGTCATGGCCAAACAGCGCACTCAGCCTGGCAAACATATAGAGTAAGTAGATGGAACATTGGCCAAGTGATGAACTGTAGTATGGTATTTCTGATACAGCGAGGTGAAGGAATACTCTTCACCAGTCTGACAGAGTCAGGGATCACACTGGTTACTTCCCCATTGTCATGGCCAAACAGTGCACTCAGCCTGGCAAACATATAGAGTGAGTAAGTAGATGGAACTTCAGCCAAGTGATGAATTGTAGTATGGTACCTCTGATACAGAGAGGTGAAGGAATACTCTTCACCAGTCTGACAGAGTCAGGGATCACACTGGTTACTTCCCCATTGTCATGGCCAAACAGCGCACTCAGCCTGGCAAACATATAGAGTGAGTAAGTAGATGGAACTTCAGCCAAGTGATGAACTGTAGTATGGTACCTGTAAATATAGTACAACTTTGATAAGAAGTGTCTCAAGGGTAGTAGGGAAACAATCTTGTTATCAAGGTGTTCTTCTTGTTGAGTCATGTGTTGTCGAGGTTTTTTGGCTAGCAGCCTAGCAGTCATGTTATCAAGGAAGCATCCTTACAATGAGTGTATTTAAGAGCAACACTTCTTCTAACAAGTTACAAGTGTATTTTTTTTAGATTATAATTTATAGTACAGTACTTTAATATTCTGTACCCAAGTAGGTTTAGTAAAAAACACTGGCAATTCAATTTTGCATTGTGGAGTGGGGGTTTCAAGTCCAAACTTCTTCTATCTAGTACCAAGTACTAGAGTGAGTATAGTACCGCAGGACTGGGACGGGTGGCGTCGTCCTGTAATCCAGCTACTAGGAGGTCACGAATTGTGGATATTTATAGGCATGCACTGTGGATGCGATGCTCCCTGGTGTGGATTAACGTCCGCACTAGTGAGCACTACGACTATCCGCAGTACTATCCTGATAATTAGACCATTTCGTTAATAACAAGGAAAAATGTGGTTCGGATTCCACTATAAACTGTAGGTCCCTTAGTTGCCATTAGCTTTATAATTAGCTTTAATTAGCATTAGGTATGGGCTATTATAATTAACAGATGTGTCTAAGGAATATGTCTGCCTTAGTCACTAACAAGACTACAAGATCGCGCCACTCATCCTACACTCATCCTTCACTCACATTTGGGTTAAAATACGCACATAGTGGCGTCCCCATCTTAAATAATTGATATAATTGATACCTGAGTCTGAATTGACAATGGTTCACACAAAACATCCAATCTGGTATTTTTGTGAATCAAGTTTGACTTGTCAAAAAGACTTGTGTGAGGTTCTGAGTTACAATACAATTTAGAAAACGTGTGTTTGTTTTTCTTTTGAAAAGTCCAATTATTATAGTCCATCATGGTAGAGCCATACACAATAGGTTGAGAACTCACTCAATGATTGGACTTCTGAAGTTTATGAGTGTTGATTTTGCAGCTTCAAAGTCCAAGTTGTTCATCAAGCACCAGACCATCTCCAGGGTCCAAGTACTCCCTGCAACATTACGGTTCAAGTAAATCATAATCATAATAATATTATAAATGTGAAAGTTTGTGTGTTAAATTTAATTTAATAAATAAAATTTTAGTGAATTTCCCTATACCCTATACATATACTTTTTCATTTTGATGTCCCTAGAGGGCAGAAACACTAATTGTTAAAATTTTGTTGTACAGATTGTATTGTTGTAAAAATGTATACATAGATTTTTATATTTTATATACATCGGTGAACTATAACTTAAGTAATTTTTGTCCAAATTTGATGAAATTTGGCTTGAAGATGTAGGGCAGGATAACTTGAATGGGTTCGTGAACCAGCATTATCGGACCATGGTACAGGGTTTTATGGTTGGTTTGTGGGTTAAAAATTGGTTTTTATCATTTTTGACCCTCAAAACATAAAAATTAAACAATTATCAGAAACCATACAAATCATGCAATGATAAAAAATTAAAAACTTTGCGACTATTTGTGTTATTCATAATTTTATCTTTTAATCTTAAAAATACTGTAACTTTATACCTACATCTTATCTATTTACATAGTATATACTATTGAAGTAAATTTAATTATCTACAACCTTCTTTCCGTCAATATTTCTGAAAAATAACAGAGAAGGAGAAACAAATAAGATTTTAACAAAAAATGTGAGATGAAATTTTTTTTGAACTTTTTTTTAATTTGAGCGCGGATATCTCAGAAAATATGCGTCTTTCACTAATAATGTATATGATCAAAGTCGTAGCAAATTTAATGAGTGCAAATTGGGGCATTTACACCTCCCACCACCAGAGAGCGGCAGGGTGATTTTATTCTCACCTATCATATATTCATTAGGGGACCCTCCCCGACACATTTTTGAAAAAATTGGGAATACATAGATTTGTTCCTCTATTTTTCCTAATTTGCTTGGGCTACAGTGGTAGAACATTATTGCTATAGTATGTGTGTTATACTCTTTTTTTAGGTTGTTTAACCTTGCATTTGCCCGTTCACATAGACTGCAGATCTGTGTGTGGAATGTATCCAGCAAAGCAAGGGGTGAGACGGTACAGTACGAAGGTGAATTGTACTGATAAATTTTAGTGGCAAAAAAAAATTGACCAGTCTCCAAGTGACCAGGATCCGAACCCACGACATCGCTGCCTTGGGCCCGAAGTCCGTGACGCTACCAACTGAGCCACAGGACTCACCAATATAGTATACCGTAAATTTAAAGAAACAAATTTTCCCAATCTTTGTCCTCTCCCATTGCAAACACAAAGCTTGAGTACCTATATAACTGCAATAAGCAATTTAGACTTATACGCCAACCCCGTACAAAGGACAGTTACTCTGCTAGTATTAAATTTTGTTGTTTAAACAATTAATTATTTAATTGTTTACATGTTTAGGATTCACATTTCATTTACAAAATAAGCTACAATGAGGTTAAAAGATGAAACTAAAATGAAATGGTGAGTTAGTGGTTCAGTCAGTCGGGTTGTTGTGCCTGCCATAATTATTTATCAGTACACTGTTGTACTGCTCTCTTGTACTACACCAACTCACACCTTGCTTTGCTGGATACTTTCCGCGAACACACCCGAGACCAATATTTCTGGGCGAATGTAAGGCTCTAAATAATTTTTATTTATCACTCACTCACTGTATACATTTTTCTCATTTTAAAGTAGCACAATGGGCTGGCTAATCAATCTGTGAATATTACAGCATCCTCAGCAATGAGGGTTGAGACTGAAACCATACTCATACTGAAAAAAATTACCAGTGCGAGGGTATGCCACCATCCAGACATCGTCAGGCTTGACGTGGAAGTCGCGGATTCGCTGCCCTATGTCTTGAAACTTTGGAGGGAGCAGCACTCTGCCTGGGTGTACCTCTATGAGAGCGTCCTTCACTCCGAACATGGCGTCGATGCGGGAGCCCAGCTTCTCCTCCAACATCTCAAACTTGAGTGACATACTGCCGAGGATGGGTGAACAATAATACTGTACTCTGGACCTGGCAAGAATAGACATGGTATGACGACAATCTGACTTTGTGAATAATACAGAAATTCTCTGGTACACAGCTACTTTGAGATATAATCTATTTACATTGTCTTTAAAAGAGCAGATGATTAAGATAAATGTTTCAACTTGTATCCATAGATAATTTTTAGGCAACAACACTGTGCTGATTATGTCTGAACATCTTAGAACTTGTAGTTTGAACACGACTTGATCAAATGTTATATGAAATTCGGAGATTGAGATCAAACAATTATTTGTATTACTAGTAAAAAACAAGTCCTGTACAGTGTATTTACTTGAACGTCTTCCAAAAGGTAGCAAAAGAGTGAAACTGAAGGAAATTTAAAATTCTCTGTTATATTGAAAGTTAGTAGGTAGCTATTAGCTAACTAATGGGATGAATCAGTTCTAGATATAATCACATTGACTTAAAAATCTGTTGATCAAGATTGTTTTTTTCTTCACAAAATTAACTGTTGTATGCACAAAAGTTATTATTGGAACTTGATTGTTTTGTTAATCATACTTCCCTTTACTAGAAAATAAAAATACAATGATCCGGAAGATGTATGATATTGCTTCATAAAGCACCTACTGTATAGGATTTGGTAGTGGTAACCTATTTTTATAATAATTTGACCAACGCCTTTTTCTTAACATTCTACTCACAGTAACTCTGCAAACTAATTCCCAAATTTGACACCAATAAAAATACGTGTTTGTATATTCAATGAATTCAATTTTATTAATATAGGCTAGTAAAGATTGCAAAATTTTATGTGTTTTCAACCCTATTCACCTCATATCTGTTTAGTGTTTAGCTATGCAAAGTTGAAACCAAAGCTTTTTTGTGACACACAATGTTACCTACTGTTTAAAAAACTAACACTTTCAACTTTTGATATTATTGTTACTGCTAGGTTTTTTTTCTACATTTTTAATATATTGTTTAATTTATGTCATGTTCATCTGAAATAGCTTTTTATTAATCACTACAATAGGCAAGCATGTTTCTTGTAAACCTTTTTTCTCAGCTTGTGTGGATCGCAGGGAAAATCTACGCATACTGTTAGAAAGATATTTTCCTGTCGATGTACAGAATCCCTTTATAAATTAAAATATGGAAAGTAAATAAAAGAACGTTTTATAACACTTAAGACATATGTTTACGCTTATACTCACAAGACGGTAAATATACATAAACGATGGTAAGTGGTGATCGATTTCAATTAGTCACTTTAATCATCAGAACCAATAGGCGAATGTTACAACCTTTCAATGTTACAATTGCCTATTGGGTCTGATGATGATTGGAGTGTCCAATCAAAATCGATCACCACTTACCATCGTTTTATATATATTTACCGTCTTGTGAGTAGTAATATAAGTGTAAATATATGTTTTAAGTGTTATAAGACGTTTCCTTTTTTTTACTTTCCGTAAATTAAATAACACATACAATGCTAATCAAGAATTTATTTAAATTAAAATATGCTCAATAATAAGCACAAAAAATGAATGTATAATTATAAAAAATTTACATGGGCCACACGGGTTGCCCATGAAGATGAAGGTCGGTGACGAAATAACAACAAAATATTAACAGAAAATCAAAACAAATGGGAGAAATTCCTATAACATGTTTTATTTACAGCGTGGGGTGAAAATAGAGAAGTCTGTACATTACATATGGGTAGATATTTGGTCGAGTTTTTGATCACTGGATAACCTCTAGTTTATTTAATTTAACAAATTTAATTCTGGTCTTCATTCCGTTAGAATTAACATAGTTATTGTCTGTAGAAAACTTGTGGATGTTTATTTCTTATTTAATCAGATATTTGTAATTTTAGTTTTAGAGTACGGTAATAATATCATTGCTGGTGAGCTCATTACAACAAATATTTGTATTATATTTGGTAGTTTATATGAAAAAAGGGTCCTTTTCCATCACTAAAACTACTTTTTTTATTGCAATTCTGTTTATTCACTACCAGAGTTTTTTTCATAATCAGAAAATTGGTTGGATAGGTTGGTTTTAGAATAGTTTCATTTTATAATTGATGTATTCATAGACTAGGCTAATTGTTAAATACCCCCGCCGCAGCAAACCTGCCGACTAAGCGAATTTCCCTTTCTGAATTGATTTTCAATTAAATCTATTTAAATAACATTAGGTTTAACGAGTACCTAGGTTTGCTGCTACAAGGAAACTAATTAAGTGTGTTTTTCAGTAAAATATTAATAGCAGTATAAAATAAATAAATTTGCCAAGTTTGATCAAAATATATCCATAAACAAGCAAACTACAACATGGTACAATATTCTCCTTTGAGAATAGCATGGGAATTTTAAATTTTAATTTTTTTGAATTCACTCCGTTACCAATTACCGCACAAAAACACTTTTTATATACTAAATTGTTTGTTTTTTAAGCTCTTTAAAAAGGTCTAGAGGGAAATTGGGACATTTTGTGGTTTGAGGGTCAAAAATGAGAAAAACCAATTTTTACCCCATCATAAAACCCCTTGTAAAACTCTGTTCCCATGGTCCGATCATGCTGGTTCGCGAACTCATTTAAGTTAATCCCACCTTACACCTTAAAACCAAGTTTCATTAAAATCGGACTACTAAAATATAGGAACTGCAATAAAAAAAATAAAAAAAACTAGTGGTAGTGAATTAATGGAAAAGAACCTAAAAAAGAAATGTCCATCTTGGTTTGTTAACACTAGAATCTTACCTGTCAGTGCAGTTCCTTGTGTTGTGTTCACTTCAGCTGTTCACAGTCTGGTCAGTCAGGTAGTAATGTTCTTCCTTTACCTCTGTCTCTCAAACTTTCTTCACTTTCACTTTCTCCACTCAGGAAGCAGCTCTGACTCAAGGTTACATAATGCTGAAGAAAGTAGTCTGGACCACTTGTAAGAGAGTAAAGCTAACCTTGAACAGTGAGACTCTAAAATTCTTCCAGCATACTTTCATAGTTTAGAGTGTGTTACCAATTTGTATTGTTTGTTTATCTACTTTTTAGATTTTTTTATATGCAGTAAAGTTTTTTTTTTTTTAATGTATTTACTAAGAACCTCACAAAGGCTTGTCCGCTGCCAATTTGAAAATCATTGAACAAACATTTTCAACTTCCAAGTCAGTATTTTTTCCTTGTCTGCCTTTCCTCAAATAACATAAAAATATCAACAATAATAACTTTTAGGTAACAAGAACAATGATGATAATTTAAATTCCAACAGGTAGCCTATAATAAAACAGTGACTTAGGCTAAATGGGCCTAAGAAAACAATAGCTATTGCCTATGTTCATTATATTCAATTTTTACAGATAGGCTACTTAAATTGTTCCCTTGGTATGTTCCAACCTTTCAACATTTTTTCAAGACTTGCAATTTATATAATGTTAAAATTGGTTTGCAACACATAAACTAGTTTTACTTTAACATCTAGTAATCTTTTCATTCACAATGAATTTCTTACCCCCTTCCATAGCTATGGAAAGGCTAGAAGACGTACTTGGCCTTGCCAACATAGGTACAGTACCAAGAGAATTTTTTTACAAAATTAATATCAAATCTGTTTCACCTGCAGTGTGACCTTGTGTTTTTCTTACACTATATATTTAATTTCCATACAATGAGTTTAACTGTCACCGCAAGTTAGTTAAATATTTTCCTTAGTTTTTGAAAGTTGTCATAATCTAGAATATTTCACACGTAAGACAACCTTCGTATTCTATGTCATGCCAGTGACAATGATACCTTAATTGTAAGTGAATAATGAATAACGCATGCTGGAATATACAATAATAATGCTGCAAAGGTCATTTAACAATATTTTATTTTAAAAAACAGTTATGAACATTTTAAATTTTAATGCCTGTTTGACCATATAGTTACTTCCAATATTTTTGGAAAATACATATAAATCTATATAGGCTTACAAGAAATTTAAAAATTATAGCTACAGTATCACAATAGACAATTATGCTACTCAAATTTATAACAATTATAAAAAGAGTAAATTGATAAAAAAAAATTTAAATTGAACACGATCATAATTCATGCAATTTAGTTCATGACACATTTTTTCTTGTAATGATTTTGATAATTTCCAAATGCCGAAGTTAGGAATTCATTTGACAAATAAGTATAAAACAAAATACCTACAAAGCTACATATTTGAGAAAAATGGTCCTTTTCCTACAGTCACCCAACAAAGTTGGCTTCCCTGTACTGTTTATAGTACAGAAAGCTGCTAATTGCTGCATATTTATACTTTGCCGTACAGTTTATACTTTGCCGTACGGTTTATACTTTGCCGCACATCAGGATTCCAACCAAACAACACAAAACAGCGTGGTTTTATTATGCACGTAATCCGTGTACGCTTGGAAATAGGTTGGCAACACTTAAAGATAATAATTCTATGAGCAGCTGATTGACTATTATAACTACGAGTTAACCTGTCATTTCGTGTTTATAGTTTCGGCATTTCTGAACTTTCTGGACTTTTCTTTTAAACGTTTTTAAAACATTCCTACGATCTTAATAAACAAGAAAATACCTTTAAAGCATTTTTTTTAGGCGCGGAAACCACTTCAAATTACTGAAACATACGGAACTATATTCTCAAAACGCGGAGCACATTTCTTGCCGAGGCAAAATAGCGGAGCGATACGGACCACGGGTATTACTTTCTCTAGGGCACCATTTGTGTTGCCAGCTGAATCGAAAAAAGTGTTGTATAGTGTTTGAAAGACTAATTATTTATATGCTTTATAGTGACTGTAGGAAAAATATAATGTGTAACACGAGTGAAAAAGGCCTTTGCTGCACTCGAGATCATTCCGCACGAGCCACAGGCTCGTGCGTAAACATTGCTCTCGTGTGCAGCAAAGTGCCACTTTCACCACTAGTTACACAATAGTGGTGAAAGTGGCACTTTGCTGCACACGAGAGCAATGTTTACGCACGAGCCTGTGGCTCGTGCGGAATGATCTCGAGTGCAGCAAAGGCCTTTTTCACTCGTGTTACACATTATATTTTTCCTACAGTCACTTTAAAGCATATAAATAATTAGTCTTTCAAACACTATACAACACGTTTTTAGGTTCAGCTGGCAACACAAATGGTGCCCTAGAGAAAGTAGTACCCGCGGTCCGTATCACTCCGCTATTTTTCCTCGGCAAGAAATGTGCTCCGCGTTTTGAGAATATAGTTCCGTATGTTTCAGTAATTTGAAGTGGTTTCCGCGCCTAAAAAAAATGCTTTAAAGGTATTTTCTTGTTTATTAAGATCGTAGGAATGTTTTAAAAACGTTTAAAAGAAAAGTCCAGAAAGTTCAGAAATGCCGAAACTATAAACACGAAATGACAGGTTAACTCGTAGTTATAATAGTCAATCAGCTGCTCATAGAATTATTATCTTTAAGTGTTGCCAACCTATTTCCAAGCGTACACGGATTACGTGCATAATAGAACCACGCTGTTTTGTGTTGTTTCGTTGGAATCCTGATGTGCGGCAAAGTATAAACCGTACGGCAAAGTATAAACCGTACGGCAAAGTATAAATATGCAGCAATTAGCAGCTTTCTGTACTATAAACAGTACAAGGAAGCCAACTTTGTCGGGTGACTGTAGGAAAATAACTATTTTGTAACTTATGTAACATAAAATGCTTCCTAAAACCTTTTAAGGCTTGTCACTTAAAGCTTTTCAACATAGAGTGGTCACTCTAAAACTCAGAGGTACCAACACAAATAAGCTGAATTACAAACTCGTCCTAAAACTCCAAGCAAATAAAGCAAATCTCATTTAAAAAAATATTTACAGAAGTAGACTATCACAAACATACCGGCAACATAACAAAAAGACTAACAAAATTTAAAGTTTAAAATTGCAGCACATTTATATTTTAAACATTTGTAGTAAAAGAGTTCTGGAAATATGGCAGTGTAACATATAATTCAAGGTTTAAAACAATGAATTATTCAAATTCAATATTTATTGGCCCAACAGAATTTTTAAATAGATTTACATACCTACGAAAAAAGTTCTATCATCCTGCAATTTAAAATTCATTCAGTTATTTTAGTGTCTTAACTGTTATAAATGTACTGTTATAACTGTTGTATAAGGCACTGTTATAACTGTTATATAAGGCACTTCTGATATAAAATTACATGGCTTATACAAGTCTATAAGAAATTGATAAATTTGCAAATAGATAAGAGGAGGGGGATAAACAAATAAAGTTTCTTGATGTAAAAACCAAAAACAAAAACCATAAAATAACAATGATAAAATTAAAAGTAATACTTTTTGTCTTTGTAACGATTGTAATGATAACAGTCAGTATTGTCAGACAGAAAAATGCAAACAATATTAGTAATAACATTGAGTAAGAGTATAAAATGAATACTAGAATAAAAAATTGTATTACCACTGAGAACATACACCGTTACGCTCCTCTCACACTATTATGGTTTTTGCTGGCTGATGAAAACCATACAGCTAAGTTCTTTCTCATTGTGTTTCAAACTTCATAATGAACATAGACTGTGTCAATTGACAAGCCAGATTAAACAATTAACAGTGCAACAGCTGATCTATTTTCTTTGGCCGGTAAGCTCCTGTTCAACAATAAAACCTGCGTGAGTACATGCATCACAGTGCAACAACTGCCTGGTTCAGTGGTAGTGGAGAGCTGCAAGATGGCAAAGTTTTCTGCCATCGCTGTAAAACGTGTAGGTAGTGTGAAATCTCTCTTGCGCTTCTTAATACAACTAAAAGAATTTACCATACGTATAGTGTTAAAGGAGCGTTTATTTATTTAAAGAATAAAGAATAGTTTCATTAGAAACTTTGGTAAAAAATATTTTAATTCTTATCTGGATACAGTTTTTATAACTTTTACAAACCATCCTATTATGCTAAAAGTTAATATTCCAACTTTTCACATACAATTTTTTAAAGTTTTTTATTACACATTAAACCTTGGAAAACAAGGAATTCCTCTCATCAATTAGATTATTTTGAATGCCACAACAAAGTCTTTTTTGAAATTCAAATAGAATCCAGACTTATTGTTACATCCACATCAAGTTGGTTCAGAGATTTGATCGGTAATTAGTTGAATATAAGGTCTTTGTAGTTGGAAAGTAAGTAGTAAGTAGATACTCTACAACTGGTGGTAGTTCTGACTACTGTGGTGCGATCTGCTCGCTCAAAGTTGGCCTTCACAATCTCATAGTACCTGCCATCACTGGAAGAAACCAATACATTAGCCAAGACATTTTACATATTGGACAACTCATTATGAGATCTTAGTACTCATAAGAAATCATCCTCTTTCAAATTTAGCGCAAGGCGAGACTGCCAAACTATTTGAAGTGTATGAAGGACCATTCAAGATTAGCAGAGTGTTAGGATCATCGACATACTTCATTAGTAGTTTAGAAAACCCAGAAGAATTCGGTCCATACCACATTTCTTCAATCAAGAAGTATTTTCCCCCCATGAACAACGAAAATGTTTAATTCCCTTTCCTGTTCTCTGAAAATCAAGTGCATAAACAATCTGTCAGTGAAAATGGCCGTATTGTTTAAAAGACAATTATAGTGCTCAAGATAAACTATTATAAAAGATGAGAGGACTGTGTGTTCAGTGGTGATAGACTGATAGACAATAGGAAATGGTTAATTCCCACACACTCACACATCACAAATATATAGACACAAAACCACTTTATGCTTTCCACTGTTTCTGTTCTTTACTACTGTTTGTTTGTAATAATAATATAATTAATCATGTTTTGTTGTGTTAACGTCCCATGTTATGTTTTATCAGGTTATATTTAAATATTTTCAATGTTTGTATTTATTCTAAAAAAAAAAGGTTCTGTTTATGTAAATTAGTTAAGTTGTCATACATTCATTCATTATCTTATCGAAATAATGTTCTGTTGATTCATCACCATACCATCATTTCTGAGGGGATATTGAGATAAAACATGAATGTACTCATATGTGAATTGTAGCTAAATTACTTTTAATATTTATCAATTACTGTATTTTCAAAAAGAATATTTAAATTTAATAAAATATAAATTAGTGAAGAAGAAAAACTATATTCAAAAATACCATTCTAAAATTAAATAGTGTCTAGGTAGGAAATATTTCTTTTGTACTGTCCAGTGTCCAGGTGTGAAGTAATTGTTGGAAGGAAAGCAAAAGAAAAGGAAGAAAATGGCTTGTGGTGGAAGATTTAGAGAGAGATGAATGTGGGAGCCAAGTCTCCAGTGATTTAAATATTAACAAGTATAAATTAACATTCAGAATACATATAAATATTGAATATAAAGAGACATAAAGAAAGAAGAAAATCACTATTCAACAAAATTGGTAATATCAACCTCAATTAACACTTAAAAAACTCATCATCAATTTCCAACCACCACATTGTGAATATTGAATAAATTCAAGTGACTTTCAAATTAAGAACTTATAGCCTAAATTTTTTTAGGCCTAATGAAAGTGTACATTCTGTTAGTAGCATTTTGAATGAATATAGCTCACTTTTTGATGGTAGTATTGGTAACATTTCTACAACAGTTCATTTGTCATTAAGTGAAGATGCTAAGCCTATTATTGAACCATGTCGTAGAGTACCATTCGCTTTGTTAAATCCTTTGAAAAATGAACTTGAATTAATGGAAGCTAATGGAATTATTGTAAAAGAAAATGAACCTACAGAATGGGTTCACAGTTTAGTTTTGATAAACAAAAAAAATTCTGGACTAAAGGTAGTATTAGATCCAAGAAACCTGAATAAGTATATACAAAGAACACACTGTCAAATGCCAACTATAGATGAAGTGTCATCAAAGTTTAATAATTGTAAGATATTTTCAACTCTTGATGCAAGCAGTGCATTTTGGATGCTTAAGTTGGATAATATTAGTAGCAAGTTGTGTACGTTTAATACACCTTTTGGTAGATATAGATACCTTCGTTTGCCATATGGTATCTCAAGTGCACCGGATATATTTCATTCTACTGTATCTAAAATATTTGAAGGTATTGATGGTGTAGTCACCTACATAGATGACATTTGCATAGGTGCTCCTGATAAACAAACACATGATTTAAGATTAAAGGAAGTACCTATTAAAAAGAGCTAAGGATTTTAATATTAAGTTTAACTCTAGGAAATGTAAATTTGCTGAGAGTGAAGTTTTGTTTTTGGGTCATCGGTTTACTGAGTATGGTTTAACTCCGGATCCTTCTAAGCTTAAAGCTGTACAGGAGATGCCAATACCTAAAGATCGTAAAGACTTGGAAAGATTTTTAGGAGTTACCAATTACTTATCAAAGTTTATTCCAAATTATTCGACTGTAACATCTCCTTTGCGAGTTCTTTCACATAAAGATGTTTTATTTCAATGGAATGCCGAACAACAAAATGCATTTTTGACTTTAAAGTCTTTGTTAGTATCTCCTCCTGTTTTATCATATTATGACCCAAGTAAGCCAATAACATTGTCTGTAGATTGTTCCTCAACTGGTTTAGGTGCTGTATTGTTATGTGGTGATAATCCAATTGCGTATGCGTCTAGAGCGCTCACTAAGACTCAGTCAAATTATTGTCAGATAGAACGAGAAATGCTAGCCATAGTTTTTGGTTGCACTAGATTTCACCAATTTATTTTCTCTAGGAAAGTAACTGTTGAAACTGATCACAAACCCTTAGAATGTTTGTTTAGGAAGCCCATTACTGCTGCTCCTTTAAGATTACAGCGAATGATGCTAAAAGTTCAACGCTATGACTTAATTGTTGTATACAAGCCAGGTAAATTGATGTATATAGCTGATACACTGTCACGTGCAGCACTTCCAGTAGAAGGTAAAGAAGATATTGATGTTTTAGATGAGGACATCATTTGTGAGGTAAATATGTTAAAATCTTATCTTCCCGTGTCTGAAAGTAAACTAAACCTGCTAAGAGAAAAAACCAGTTCAGATGAATGTCTAGGTATTTTAAAGATGTATATATCTAAAGGTTGGCCTCAAAAGCCTGAAGTCAGTAATATGGTTTTACCATTTTGGAGTATTAAACATGATCTTCATGTTGTAGATGATCTTGTTTTCAAAAATCAATCTATTGTTGTACCTAGTTCACTTCATAAAATGATGCTTGAAAGTTTGCATTGTGGCCATGTAGGAAAACAAACATGTGAGATTAGGGCACGCAATTTATTGTAATGGCCCACCTTACATAAAGACATTGAAAGTTTTGTAAATAAATGTAGTGTTTGTGTTAAGTTTAAGCCTATGAATGCAAAAGAACCGTTGTTGTTTCATGATGTACCAGATTTGCCTTGGCATAAAGTGTCAGGTGACATTTTTGAGTTTGATAACCAATATTTTCTTGTACTAATGGACTATTATTCTAAATATATTGAGTTAGTATCTTTGTCAGACATAACTTCAAAAACTGTAATCGAGAAATGCAAATCAATATTTGCTCGCCATGGAATTCCTGTTACTTTAGTAGTTGATTCAGGAAGTCAATTCACTTCTAACGCTTTTCACGAGTTTTCTGTGTTGTACGATTTTAAGCTAGTGATAGTTAGTCCAAAACACTCTCAATCTAATGGTCAAGCTGAGTCAGGTGTCAAAATAGCGAAAAACTTACTGAAGAAAACAAAAGAATCTAAGTCTGATGTGTATCTTGCATTGTTAAGTTATCGTAACACTAGTAAACAATATCAACCTTCACCAGCAGAGTTAATGTTTAGTAGAAAACTCAATGGCCTATTGCCACTGTCTAAAAGTAGTTTGCAGCCTAAAGTAACAAAACCTAACAAAATTTTGTCAGACAAGAGAAAAGATTGTATTAAAAAGTACTATGGTAGAAATAGCAAAGAGTTACCCTCTTTAAATGTAGGAGACAAAGTGTATTTTAAGAAAACTGTTGATTCACCTTGGACATCAGGAAAAGTAGTAGAAAAAAATAGAATCCCCAGATCCTATGTTTTGTCTGATGAGAAAGATAAAATGTTTGTAAGAAATAGGAAGATGATTAGGCCAGATTTGTCTAATGATACAGGTAATGAAACCATAATGCCTGAAACAAGTCCTAAGTCAGATTCACAAATCAGTTTGTCAGGTACTAATGGTAATAGCCTTATTTCTCCGCAAAGTAGTCCAGTGTTGTTTCAAAGACCAGTAGGCCTAACTCCTAGAATTTCATCAGAAGAACAAATTGTTAAAAGTTTCGATGGTTGTGTAAGCCGAAAGGGTAGATTGATAAGAAATCCAAAGCGGATGTCTTATGATTAGGTTTTGGTGTATATTTTGTTAGACTTGAAAGGAAAATGTTAAAGTAGTATTTTGGAAAGTTAAAATTTTCAATTTTGTAAAAGAGAGAGGATGTTGATATATGTATATAGTGAAGTCCATGTTTAGAGGTATTACTCTTTGGTCTTTGTGTATTCTCTTTTAAGTGTATTTGATTTCCGATATAGAATAAAAGATGTCGGCTCATTAACTGCAGCCTAAATGTATTTCTGTCGATGTTAAATACAATTTATAATAAATAGTATTGAAACTTCAATTGTGTTTTTATTTAAAACATGAAACTGTTAAGTGTTAACATGTTTCATGTTTCATGTTTCATGTTTCATGTTTCATGTTTTAAATAAAAACACAATTGAAGTTTCAATACTATTTATTATAAATTGTATTTAACATCGACAGAAATACATTTAGGCTGCAGTTAATGAGCCGACATCTTTTATTCTATATCGGAAATCAAATACACTTAAAAGAGAATACACAAAGACCAAAGAGTAATACCTCTAAACATGGACTTCACTATATACATATATCAACAGTATACGTCAGCGTGGTGCATGTAATTTTTAAAAAAATCTCTAATTACATATGAAATATTCACACATTTGTAAGTTTACCTGAGAGTTAGGCAGCGGAGTTTGAGGCACTTGACACGAAGTATGTCAATGGCCTTCTGACTCTTGTCTGAGAAACGGAGATTCTCTGGATCCCACTTGAGCTCAAGACGTTCCAGGTTGGGGCAGTTGTTGGCAATGCCATCCATCAACTGATCTACATGAATGTTGACACCCAGCCGCTCTGATGTGCCCATGATGATGATCCTAGGAATCAATGAGATGTAAATTACTCTATTATTGCAGAAGATTTCAATTAACAATCCGGAAATTAAAGACACTATGATATCAAACAAATGGGGTCTATATTGGCAAGATTTGTAATGAAGAGTCTTAGAAATTATTATTTTACTAGCAGACTTTTGTCCTTCTTACGGGGTTGGCGTAGTATAAAATGCTTATGGCAGTTATACTCGTGCTCTGTGTTTGCAATGGGGGAGAACCAGGTTTCAGAAAATTTTGTTCTTGAAATTTACGTATGCTATTGCTATAGTATAACAAATCTACCGTAAACATAACTTTCTACCACTGCATCTAAACAATAGAAAAAAGTAAATTACCAATCATTCACACTATATCAAAATTATTTATTAAATTAAAAACATAAAAATAACTAAACAATCCTATTTTGACAGTTCTCATTGTGTATCACAGCTTTTGTTTGCAGGTAAGGTGTTGGTAAACCTTGTAACTTTTTAATGCTATTAAATATCATAGAACCGACTTGTTTCGTTGAAACAGTTGGCAAAATTCTTTAATTATAATATTTCTAAATATGAATACTCATAAGAATAACATGGAAACTTAGAACCCCTGTGGGGCACAACCCTATGGGATTTTCACAACTTTAATATGCCTATGTTTTCTCAAGACTATCGAGTACCTCTCTGCAAAATGTCAGCTCAATTGGTCCAGTAGTTTTCATGTGATGGAGCTTCAGAGTTGCACACAAACATCCATACTTTCCCATATAATATTAGTAGGATTGGTTAAATGAAGTTAGTTATACAGTATAGGCAATGAAAAGTTATAGATGAGTTAATTCATAATATACACATTGGTGGTTTTATTAAAAGTCTCCTATATATATTATATGGTGTAAATTAATTGATGAATGAATGAATCTTCTATTTCAGCAGACAAAGTAGGCTTGCATGGCCCTTCATTGCACTTAACCTGTATACAACATATATTTTTAAAAACTGTATTCACACATATCAATATAAAAATTAACTTACAAAATAACTCGAAAACTCAGTCAGACTAGAAAAGACACAATCCTAGGGTGCACCAGCCAAGACCATATGATCCAAGTACAATGTTCTCTTTGCCACCACAACTATAACTATGAAGCAACCGTATGCGGAGAAGGATATTTTTCCGAAGATGGAAGGCATGTACAGCAGAAGCCCTGTCTTAAAGCTGTGATTATATGATGAGTTATACATGGAAACATGAAAAATTAGATGTGTGAGCTCCTTACTACCTTCAGCAAAAACCCAACAAAATCATTTTCAAACTATTATGTATACTATTTTGTCAATATTGATTGATAATGCACCAAGCTACATACTGGGAGTTGTTGAGGATTGGCAGTACTGACTGCCACAACTGGTCTGTGATGTGACTCATGCCTGAGAGACTGAGGCCTTGCAACTGATGTCCGTAGCGGGAGAGGAAGCGATGAAGTCCGTCGTCAGTCAGGTTGTCAGAACTGTCCAAGTCTAGAGATATCAGGTTTTTGGGATTCCCCTGCTCCATAAACGCTTTTAGTACCTGCAAAATCCTAGTTGAATTTATTTTTCTTTAGAATTTTCCTAGACTCAAAACCATTGTTAAATTTGTATACTTATTACTTTTAATCTTACTAAAAATGTTTGTTACTGAGCCAAATGTTTAAATAATTTGGGAATATAGGGTGAAGGAGTAGCTGAAGTTCTAGTTATCTTTCAGTTTTGGTATCTCAAATTCTGTAGAAAACTAATACTTTCTCCATAGTAGATTAAATAATACACAAATGAAATCCTTGTACCGAGTCGTTGAAGCCGTTGATCTGCCCGGCACTGAGGAAGCGCAGGGAGGGGATGCGGGTGAGCATGTCTATGAGACACTCAGTGCTGAGGTCCGTGGCTGTGATGTCGAGCTCCTGGACTGAGGATTTCTCCCACTCTACTTGCATCACAAACTCACTCTTCAGATCTGTAAATGACAATGAATGATGCTTTTATTACCATTAGATTGCTCTGATCTTGATCATTGAACATTGAGCAATTCCTTATGGTTATAGCGCTTGTTTTCAAATATGAAGGTCGCTGGTTTGATTCGAAGCAAGATCTTTACCAGACCCAGATGTAATTTGTCTTTGGGCTATGTATTATTGATGCTATCCAACCAAAAGGTCGATGTTTGATAGTAAAAATGCCAGGGTTTGGACAGTTCCCTTTCAAAACGTAAAAAATGCCATTGGTGTGGAAAGCACACAAAATATATTTAAAAAAATAAACATCTGTAAATATAATTTATAATATTTTGTGAAAAATAGAAACTGATACTCACTGGTCTGATTCATGAGAAGACATTTGAGTCTTCTGCTCCTCTGGAACAAGGTCTTCATTGTGGAACCTGTCACTTTGTTGCAGTAGTTGACAGCCAAACACTCGAGCTGCAATAGATAAAGATCTATCGTTGCTGAGAGTTGTAAACTATGTACTCCACTTACTTAAATCAGAAATAATATTACCAATGTTTTCATAATATTTTAAGCCTTGACCTTTTCAAGGCTATTACCATTGACAAAAAGAGTTAAATATAGACTGTCAGCAGTGATGCAGTTACCATAGGTTCTGGCACACACCCCTGGGAATGCCATGTAGTTACGGCGTATGCACTATGGAACTACACGGCGCTCCCAGCGGTGTGCGCCAGAACCTATAGTAACCATGGTAACGACAGCAGGCTGACAGTTTATATTTAATTCTTTTTGTCTATGCTACTTGATGCACCATCACATACAAAAAATGTGTTGTTACCATGTAAGGATAAACATTTATAAGGAGAGAACTCAAGCATAGCAGTTACTCTTAAAAATGGGAGGAACACGGCGAGTTGTTGCCTCATCTGAAGCCATTTCAAGTTTTTTTAGACACAACTTTGTATAAATAAAAAAAAACATTTTTCAAAAATAATAATAAGCATGAATGTTTATTTCATATTATAAATATTTGGAAGGTTTAGCTATACCTGTATGCAGTTAGAACTGAAAGCGTCTATGTGGCTGTCATCAATAAAGTTTATGCCGTAGAGGTTGATCACACGGAGGTTTGGTGTGGCTGACTTCAGCTTGTGAACATTGATAACTTCATAAATCTCCTCTTCCTCTTCCTCTACTTTCTCATAAGTGCCTAGTATAATGATAGAATATAAGGTATGTAAAGAATGGAACTAATAATGTAATAGTTTTATTTTGTTGATTGGAAATAGAGGCAGTAAATCACCTTCATGGTTTTGATAAGTTTACAAATAAAGTATGGCAAGTTATAAGTTGTGTCTTCTGGTCAGAAAACAATTTCAATTTACAATAGCTGCTCTATTGTAAAAGTTTGATTTAATTGCCTCCTCTTCCATGAATTAAACCCCTTAGGTTAAGACTGATCGATTTCTTTGTTATATAAGTATATTTGCATTCATACTAACTTCATAGTACATGTAGCTGTGATTCCAGTTAAAACTGTGTTAAATAAGTAAAAGTTTAGAGAAAGCAGAATTTAAAGAAGTTAATTGGATTTTACTATCATAGTTTCCATATGACACTTTTCTTTCCATCTTGCCTTATTTAAGACTTGGCTCCTACGTACTTTCTAACACTTATGGGTGAGTTTTGTCTTTTTACCTTTAATGTGAGTGCTTTGCACTCAATGTGGTGAGACGTTAACTTAAACTGACTGAGATAAGTACTGCCATGAGACTGTTCTATATATGTGTTTCTTCTGTGAGGGTCAACACATTTCTTCATCAAGAAAATAATTTTTAAGGAAATAAGCACAGTAAATATTTTATAAAAGGTAGGTAATAGTTTTCCACGTTTTAGGGCTACTTTACCTATTAGATGTAAAATTTCAAGTCCATTTATAAAATTGTATATTTTTCTCATGAAACCTTCCATGAAGATGACCTCAGACAGGCAGATACACAAGTACCGCAACTTGGTGGGAAATGCCTAAAACAATGAACAAAATATTTAAATTGGTAGACAGACTAGAAAAATAGGCTCATGACCTTAAATCTCTAAATCTTGACCACTAAACGTTGGAAGTGAGAAGATGGAGATTATGGACAATGATTAGAGAGGAGTACGGTAGCAGTTATGTCTGGAGGTCAGGAAAGGAAATTAAGTATAAGTAAATAACAGTTCAATATTTAGTAAAATACCCCCGCCGCAGCAAACCTGCTGTCTAAGCGAATTTCCATTTGGCCGAATTGATTTTCAATTGATCTATTTAAATAACATTAGGTTTAACGAGTACCTAGGTTTGCTGCTAGAAGGAAACTAATAAAGTAGTGTGTTTTTAGTAAAATATTTATAGCTTACTATAAAATAAATAAATTTGCCAAGTTTGATCAAAATATATCCATAAACAAGCAAACTACAACATTTTACAATATTCTCCATAAGAATAACATGGGAATTTTAAATTTACCATTTTTTTAGTTTTCTCCGTAACCAATAACCGTACAAAAACACTTTGATATACTGAATTGTTTGTTTTTTTAAGCTCTTTAAGAAGGTTTAGAGAAAAATTGGGAAATTTTGTGTTTTGAGGGTAAGAAGTGAGAAAAACCAATTTTTACCCCATAAAACCCCCCATAAAACCCGGTTCCCATAGTCCGATCATGCTGGATCGCGAACTCATTCAAGTTTATCCCGCCTTACACCTTCAAACCAAATTTCATCAAAATCGGATAAAAATTACTCAAGTTATCGTGTTCACGGACACATATATATATAAATCTATATATATATATATATATATATACATATATAAAAATTTGAACGAATGGTGTTTTTGGCCTCTGGGGACATTAAAATGAAAAAGTAAATCGGTCCCGGGCCTAAGTCTTACCATGAGACCTACGGTAATAGCTACTTCCCTATAGGGAAATTCGCTAAAAAGGTTGACACAAGAGTGATTTGCATTGCCTTAATGGAATGAAGTAGGGCAGTGAATGGCCAGACCATGTATATTGTATAGCATTTGACTAATCAAATCAAATCAAATCAAATCATTTATTTAGCCAGAATATAACCAAAACAATTTGCATTAGCTAAGTCATAACATTATTTTTTAAACATGTCTTACATGGGGCTACAAATATATACAGAGGTTTACAAAATGGCTTACATAATAATACTTATAAATAATGGCAGAGTCTTTTAAATCAATATTTACATTAGCATTCCTAGAGCTGATATGAGTTAAAGAATTCCTGGACGCTGTAGGAGGTAAAAGTTATCGAAAGAGATTTTAATTGTGTTTTTTTATTTTAAAAGGTTTGGTTCTAGCTTTAGTTCAATTGAGAAAGTGCTGGAGGTGAATTGAAAAGTATAATGCCATTGTATTGTAAGTGTCTTTTGAAAAAAGGTTGTAGAATGTTTAGGGATTGGTAATGTGTATAAGTTTCGCAATGTGTAGTGGTTTTTGACAGAAAAGTTTAATTAATTGAGAAAACTCTTGTTTTACAAATGTTAAGGATTCAAGAATAAAATAGATGGAAATATCAAAATTTTTGAACTGGCAAAATATTTAAGTCAGGATTTATGACTTTGCAGAGAGAAAATAATCCTCACAGCCATTTTTTTTAGTTTAAACAAAATTTTGGTCTGCTGGCACTCACACTCACATCCCCAAATAAGATGTGCTAAATAAGACGCCATATGCTAAATTGGGATAAATGAGTCCATAGTATGCAGTAGCAGTACCTCCAGATTTTCGTTGTTCTTGAGGTTACGCAAAACAAAAATACCAGAACTAAGTTTCTTTGCAATGTGTTTGATATGGTCATCAAAACTAAGTCTATGCTCTTGTCTAGGTCAATCGAAGGAACTTGTCAAGTTCAACTTGACATTCGGTTTTGTTGAGAAGGAGACTAAAACCACTATTCGACCTATTTGATAAATGGACGTTAATGAGTTGTGTTTTGTCTTTGTTGATTTTCAATAAGATGTCGCCAAACCATTGAATTGTACTGTTTGCTTACAAAAAACAAATTTGATATAAATTTATTAAATCAGAGCTAGAAATCAAAAGAGATGTTTTGTCAGCGAACAATGATAGATTTTTAAGGATCTTGTGCAGGAAGAAATGTTTTTTATTAAAAATAAAAAGGACTGGTCCCAGGACGGAACCTTGAGGAACCCCTCTTCCAACAGAATTCTCAGCAGAAGGGTAGGATCACAGACAAGGGAAACATAGTCAATGGTAGGATCTAACACAACCAGCCTCATCAACTGTCCTTATCTCTATTGGCTTCTGCCCCAAAGGAATGACCTGACCCAATCCTTCGACACCCACATTACTCATTCTTTCGAGCAATAAGTTATGGTCCACCATGTCAAAGGCCTTGCTCAAGTCAAAGAGTAAACCAGCAGAATAGTTTGCAGCATGTAATACACAAACCCCCTCGTTTATCAATTTAAACATGCTAGTTTTCGGATATGATATTATTTATCCTGGAAAAATCCCATAGCCTTATTTCCATGATTTTTTCAAATATATTTTAAAACACATACACTACTGATATGGACCAATAGCTATTGCAACGTGTTGGATCCCCCTTTTTGAATATAGACCTGACCACTGACACCTTCAGCGCTTCGGGAAATGTTCCACTAAGGAAGGGGCTTTACCAGATGGTGCAATATTTTTTTTCAGTTTTATCTTTATTTCATCAGCTCCTGAAGACTTTTTATTTTTTAGACTTTTGATTACACTTATAATTTTTTCTTCACTATTTGGACATAGAAAGAGTGAACCAACAGTTTTTTAATAATATTAATATCTGCATTATTGGATGAAGTAGTCTACATAAATATTTAGCTACAACTTACTGCGGGTATCTTTAAATCATTGGTGTAACTTATTCTTCTGATAAAAAAATCTGTAGTAAGCAATGTTGTCTATACTTTAGATAACCTAAGAAAGCTCAAAGTACATGAAAGAAGTAAATACAGATTGAATCATCCATGAATTAGTTATAGAATATACAAAATAACTGACCTGCATTTCGCTAAAGTCGTGCAGTTGCATGGCTGTGGAGAAGTCAAGTAACATATGAGTAAGGTTGGGGCACTTGTTGGCCAGCTCATGCAACACTGTGTGAGTGATAAGCTCAATAGGCAGCTCAATGTAGCGCAGGGACGGTCCAAACCGAATACTGCAACCAAGCAACATGGCAATTACTATTGGAATTGTTTACGATACTAACCAGGGCATTGGGCATTGGTCCTTGGACCTTATAGTCAAAAAATATTATGCATCAAGGACATCAAGTGGTTCAGCGAGCTCAGCTTTCTTTCATTGAAACTGGACAGCAAAAAGTAAAGGGGGTCGCTTTTTACATATGTATGGTGTTTTGTTGGTGGATTAATCAGAGTAATTTAAAGTACAAAAAACCTGGACTTATCTGGTAGAGCAGAATATAAAGTGATTGCCCTTACTTAATATGAACAGTCATCCGTAGTAGGCCGCTAATGCTACAATTTCATACGCCAGTTCAACTTTTTTGATTCATCAGTATTTTTATATATTTCTAGATGACACACTGTAGAGCATATTATACAGTATTGAAAATCCATCATATTCACTTGCACTCAAATCACTATCTTGTAAATCATTGGATGTTGATTATTACCAAATGATTTTGAGTACTGACTCCAGGGAACCAACATGTGGCTACAGCTAGTATTGATTAATACCTGATGAGTGTAAGTAGTGACTCCAGGGAGCCAACATGTGGCTACAGCTAGTATTGATTAATACCTGTTGAGTGCAAGTAGTGACTCCAGGGAGCCAACATGTGGCTACAGTTAGTATTAATTAATACCTGATGAGTGCAAGTAGTGACTCCAGGGAACCAACATGTGGCTACAGCTAGTATTGATTAATTCCTGATAAGTGCAAAGTAGTGACTCCAGGGAGCCTACATGTGGCTACAGCTAGTATTGATTAATACCTGATGAGTGCGAGTAGTGATTCCAGGGAGCCGACATGTAGCCCAGAGATCTCCGGCCGTAGAGAGACGTTCTTCCACAGCCTCGTGTCGTAAGCAATCATTCGCCACTTCTTGCACACCCGAGCCAGGCGACAGATCTCTCGGTGACTTAAGTACGAGAATATATGCAGCAAGACTTTATCTGGCAGTTTTTCTATAGTCTATAAAATAAAAATTATATATCTTAATGTAAAGATATCTTTAAATTCACAGTTGAGGCCTTGGTGTTGGTGTGTGGCAACATCACCACTGGCCCGGCCTATTGCCATGCTAATAAGGTGGCTCAGTCGTAGCTTTAAGGACTTAGGGCCCAAAGGCAGTGATGTCGTGGGTTCGGATCCTGGTCACTGCCGCAATAATTTTATCAGTACAGTTCACCTTCGTACTGTACCGGCTCACCCCTTGCTTTGCTGGATACGTGCCACGCACAGGCAAATAGTCTATGTGGACCGGCAAATGCAAGGTTAAAGAGACCACCAACATCTTAAAAAAAATGTATACAAAAACATTACAGCGATAAAAAAAGTGTAAACATAAACATTGTGCGGAGGCTCCATAATGAGTTAGAGCAACAGCGGTTTTGGTAAGCCGGGCTACGATTTTGTCTGGCCTCAGCTTTTTTTTTAAAGAAGGCCATGACACCTTTCACTTCCCATGTAGCACAGATGGTTGGGCCAACGTTGGTAAATTGTGGAGCCACACAGTTGGCCAACGGTAGAAATGTCACCTCTTTAAACTGTTTTCCAGCCAACCATTGTCCAACCGTTTTATTTCACACAAAATAATAAAGTTTTAGTACGAAAAGCATAATTATTAGTTGAGTAAATTGATTAAATAGTTCATAAAAACAAATTTTGAAAAAAAGCTAGAACAAAATTTTTTAGCCCAGACGGGTCTCGAACCCGGGTCCTTCGACTTATGAGACTCTTACTTTACCACTGAGCTATCTGTGATTGTTGATATAGAGAGTTTTCAAGTGGTGAAAGAGTAGCCGACAGTTGCAATGGTCGCAATACTTCAAACATTTTTGATACTACACAGTATAATATGATTCTGTTAATCTGTTAAGGCATCATAAGTAGTTATTTTTTTTTTTTTGAGTTAGAGAGGATACTGGTATTTGAATATAGATTAATTAATTACCGTTAGATTATTAATGCTATTATAATTGCCTGTTATATGATTAATTACTCTTTCCCCTTAAATTGTTGCAAATAAGTTAAAGAATATTAATTTAAAAAATATTTGCATTATTATAATTATTAAAATTCATTGTTGTAGCCCCGGAACTGTAATATATAAAATATCTGGTTTTACAATACCTTTATCAGTTCCAAAAACTTTTGGAAACTTTTGGAACTGATAAAGGTATTGTAAAACCAGATATTTTATTATAATTATGTTGTGAGAGCTAGACCCAGAGAATGAAAGTCGTGTAAACTCAACTATGGACCATCGTTGGTCCAACAAAAGTATCTTTTGTTGGTCCAACGGAGTGAAAAACGGTTGGACAACGGTTGGCTTGATGTATGATACCCAGCAATGCATATTAATGTATTTCATTAACAATGAACCAATGTTGGTCCACAGTTGTAAATATTGGTTGGCCCAACTACGAGATATACAGTTGGACAACGGTTGGTTGGTTGTGGAAGCTCCAACCAACCATCGACCAACTGTCCCACAGTTGGCCAACGTTGGCCCAACCATCTGTGCTACATGGGTTTCTACAATGAAATTCAGTTGTTTGAATGTTTAGGCAAGGAAGAGTGCAGAGCATGTAAAAAACTATTTTTAGTTTGGTTCCCCATTCAGATAAATAGTCCTGAACTAGTTTTTAAATTACAGTAAATACTGTACAGGCTGCGCGAGTGCGCATACCCTGAAGTTACAGATCAGCTTGATTGTATACAATTGATTTTTTTTATTGCACTCGCAAATTCATGTTGGTACAACATTTGAAAGATGTTGACATCTTTGAAAGATGGTAATGTGTGATCTTGTATACAAGAGGATCCTCGTGTATATACCGGGTGTCCCATAGTCCCCCCAATGGTTAATTTTTGAAAGGTTAATTAATATATTCAAACGAGTTACGATGCACATTACTAGGGTAATGTTAAGTACTTTTTGGGGGTATTTTGAAATTCACCCCCACCCCCAAATAGGGGTTGCTGGGAGTAACTTAAAATTTTTAAAAAGCAACCCCTATCAAGTTCATTTTAAAGGCCATTAGTTTTAAAGAATATCTGCGAAAATCATAGGTCTCTATCTCAGCCCATTACAGAATGGCGGCCATTTTTTTTCATCAGCCTGAGAGAGCACATGCAAAAATATTCACCAATATCCCTTATTAGCGTTTTTATGGGTTGTACCAGGGAAACTAAACTCATTATTATTGTAACAAGAAATTAAAAACTACTTTTTGATCAGTATGACAATTTTACCTGGGACCCCAAAATTGGGTATTTTGGGGGCAGCTCAAAATTGTTTAATATAAAGTCCCAAGTGACACCTCATTTCGAAGGCCATCAGTTAAAAAGAATATCGGTGAAAACCAGAGGTCTCTATCTCAACCCAACACTGTATACCCTATCAAAAAGGTTAGGCCAAATTTGGGAATTGGTTGGCGTGGTTGGCAGATGGTGGGTGGGTTTGCGAACAAACTGCCAACATTAGCCCAAGCGCAGTATTTGTGTTGTTTGCCCAACACATTGTAGTTTCGTAGGGCCATTGTCGGGGAATTGTGATATTCCACCCACAATTTTCGTTACATTTTAAAACTTGTTACAAATAAATCGTGAGTTACAAATTGTGCTTACTTTGTTTATTGGGCCAACGTTATTTGCCTATGGTTGGCCCCTAAGTAGCACCCTCCAATTGGCCCAACATTGGGAAATGGTTCGTTGGCCCTATAAAGGAAAGAATCATTGGGCCTTTGTTGGATTTAAGTATAAAACATTGTAAAACACATTTTAACAATAATTGATTAACTATTTAAAGTTTCAAAAATAAATGCCATAGCAGCAGAATAAAAGATGATTTTCGAGAAAATTTGATCTGTAATAAATGTAGTTAGATGATGATGTGATAGTTGCGAATAGTGTGGTAGAACACCTGCTTAAAATATAATAATAATAATAATAATAATAATGCAAATGATTTTTTTATATTAAAATTCTTTAACTTATTTGATCAAAGAGTGAAAATTTAAAAACGTACGTTTTCATGTCCCTGGCCTTTTACTTCGTAGATACTGGATTTGTAGTTTATTATTATGTGTTTTAATATTTTTTGGGACGGGGGCAACATGTTACACACATTTATTTGGTTTTAAATAGGTTCTAGGTATTTTTTTCGTATTTTTAAAGTCTCGAAATTCACGACCATGACGTGTCCCTAGGGTACATTTTCCAACTTTCACGCTGTTTTTAGACTAATTATTCATGCCGAAATATATAAAGCCATATTTTTATGTCATCAATGGTTATTAAACTTACAAAAAAGGAGCATATTATAATTTTATTGTCATTGCAAACTGACTACCATGACAAAATAAGTCTGTCCCTCGATTTGGCGTCACGACCATTTGGGAAAAATTTTCAACTTTGGAGCACGACAGTGGCAAGTCTGGCGTCGATGGAGTCAGTTGGTTTTAGAGACTAGTTCGGGGTGTACGTCAGGATTGTAGTGCCGGTCTTTTCGAGTTGAAAGGAGGAATTACAAGATTAATAAAGGAAAGATTGTGTTTTTTGTAATTTTGGTGTGTCCATGACCGTACGTAGTCATTCGATGAAGTAGACATGGTGTTAATTTTTGTTTGTAAGATATTTCAATTGCTAGATTAACCTAGAAGTCCACTTTGTATCCTCGAACATGAGGTGCAGGGCTACCGCCAGAACAGAGCCAAATAACACGTAATTTCACGACCAAAGTTTCACGACCATCGCGGGTTTTTTCACGACCAGTCCAGCCTTATGGATTATAGTGTGTTTGGTCGTGACAATAACTTTAATATAATTGTAAATTGAACAGTTTAGTTCAATTGAAACACATATTTTTATTATAACTAACAGTATAATTGAAGGATTGTTTTGAAAGATTTAGATTATTTCAGAAAATTCACGACTGTACCGCATGTCCCTGACCATCACGTTTATGATTTCTATCATAAAAATTTCAAAAATTAAAATATCGTCATATTTCAATGTTTTATACACAAAAGAAGCACACCTCTATACAAACATAACGATTTTTTGGGTCTCAGGTAAGTTTTTTCGGAGTTATACAAACTTAAAAAGATTTTATTGGCTTTTTTCAATTTTTTGACTTTTTTTTATTTTTTTCTAGAAAGACCAAATATACCAAAAGCTCAGTGACCTTTTTATTGTATAATGGTTATAAAAGTAAATTAGTTTATAGCAAAACATAGTTATGAAAATAATATTAACTATTTTTAATATTCATTTAAACGTCTGTTATGGTCATGACAGGATTTTGTGTTTTTCCACTAAAGATTCCCTTTAAAAAAAAAACTACCAAAGATATTGCGTTACCATGGACATTTTATGAAACTTTAAATGTTAATGAAATAAAAATAATAATAAAAGTTTTGAAAAAAGGGGAAAAAAATTTGCAAAGTGCTTTTCCTGAAAACGTACGTTTTTAAATTTTCACTCCAAAATAATTAAGATAGTTGAACAATTTAAGGCGAAAGATTAATTAATCATATAACAATTAATTATAATAACATTACTAATGGTAATTAATCAAATTATATTCAAATGCCGGTATCCTCTCCAACTCCCAGAAATAAATTCAACAACTTGATGCCTAAACAGAATCATAAAATAAGGCATATCAAAAATATTTTTAAGTATTGTGACCATTGCAACTGTCGGCCCCTAATTGACCGCTTGAAAAAGTCTAACAGCAACAATCACAGATGGTTAAAACATACCTCGTCAGACAATCCTTAACATGTAGTGTTGAAATTACTACATATGTTTCGGCGGTTATTTACTGATCTCCGCCATCGTCAGGCAAACAAAAGGATCCACTTGATGTGTCGTCAGAATAAATAAATAAAACACACATTTTTACAAAACACAAAAACGAAAATGATGGGCCTATCAATTACACGCACTGCCGTGAACATGGC